ACATGTAGCAATGCAGTCTCTGCTGATTCTGTGATGTCAAATCCAGGACAAAATGTGGATTCAAGTATGTTTTTTCCAGCACGACAAGCCCACTCCTGTCTATCCTTTTCCTTTTCTGGTTTGACTGGTGAAAGCAGTGCCCGGGATTATCAAGATTGTGGTGTGTCATCAATGCTTCTTATGGGTGAGCCTCCAGTGTTCCCAGCTGGACCTGAGAGTTCCATGTTGCCTACAGCCAGCAGGGATAGCGCTGTGATGCGCTATAAAGAAAAGAAGAAAACACGCAAGTAAGTTTAGACTCTGGCAAATACTAAAATGGATGTTATATCTGAAATGTAATTTCCCATCAAAGTTACTGAGCTTAATGTTTTCTTGAACTCCTTGATAACTGGGTTAGATGTACAAGTCTTGAACCTTAATAATTAAAAATGCACCCTGCTCCAGTAGCCAGATCCATGACCTTAGAATTTGCACTTCTAAAAGCCCTGAGGCCTTGCGGGGAAAATTATCACGTGAAATATTCATAACCGATGTCAAATTAATTTATAGGTTTAGCTTGTGTTGTTTTCTGTTGGCACAGTAAATATGGATTTTTTATGTTTGCATTATATGCAATTTAGTGTGTTCAACCACTGTTAGTAGGATATAAATGAACATGGTTGGCTGCCTAGCTGTGAGAGTACAACAGTGTAGTCATATATGAGAGTTATTTGTGTGGTTCATATATGTCTAATCTCTGTCAATCTGCTCAAGATCTTACAGTTGTGCAGATTGAATAGTGATGAGAAAGAGTAAGTAAATGAGATTAAAAATAATTTGCTTGATTGTGTCTGTGACAGGCAGGAAATTTAGCAATTTTAATAGCATTCTCATTTAGAGAATCAATCACCCATGTCAGAGAGAAGGTGGTGAAGCCAAATAAGCTCCTTGAGGCCAAAATCGATCTCTAGGAATAATATGCAGTATGAAATTAGTAAGCATGTTGTGTTGTAAAGTTACAAAGAACTGGACTCATTTGGAATTTTGTTGATCTGAAGATCAGCAACTTGACCTATTTAATCATGAATGTATGAAAATTAATTAGATGTATATTGCTGCAAAAAAAATGTATACTTAAATAAAAAATAATTATCATGTCTTAATGAAATTATTTGAAGCTATATGTGATACCTCATTTTACAAATGAAGAATCCAATTTAAATATAATTATTATGGAGATAGTTGTTAGATATGGAGTGTTATTGTGATTGCTCATAGTATTTCAATGAATATGTCTGAAAAAATTCTCAGCAACTTCTTTCTTTTCCTCTGGACAGGTTTGAGAAAAAAATAAGGTATGCTTCTCGCAAGGCTATGGCCGAAGTGAGAAGGCGGGTGAAGGGCCGGTTTGTCAAGGCTGGTGAAGCTTATGATTATGATCCACTTGCAAAGACAAGAAGCTGTTAAGAGCATTATCTTAGTATAGTATAAAAATCAGTTGTTATATATTTGGGAAAACAAAGACTGACGTTGGTCACCCTTCCCTGGTGATTAATATGTTTATCAGCCTACTCGAAGAAATAAAAAGGAGAACAAGAAAGGCAGTCTGATTGGCGGCTGAAAATATTCCAGTTAAAAGTGCTCAGTCCATGCTAAATTGCCGAGGCACATTCTGGAACTTCCCAACAACCTGATCCTGTAAATGTTGGCCTTTACAATGTTCGATAGTAAATATTCTACAACCTGTGTAAACGGCAGCACATATTGGTTTAATGTTTACCTGGTATCGATGCTGCTATACGTTGACTCTGATGACGAGTCTTATTCCTCTTCTTCTTCCTCCGTTGTTGTTGTTGTTTTTTTTTTTTTTTTTTTTTTCTGATTCCACTTGAGGGTTAGCCGCCAAGCGACATGCTGCAGTGTGCTATTCCCAGCTTAGATATCTGATTCTGACATTTATACCATTCTCTATATTGTTTCATGTTAAATTTGCAGAGTATAACTCTGTTGTTGTAATCAGCAAATAGCTCTTTGTATCCATTCAAATGTGAAGGAGAATTTTGGATGTAACAAGATTCTTGGAAAAGCTGTACACTTGGTTTTCGATGTCAGTGACTATGGAAACATAATGAACTGGCTCAATTTTTTTCGCATCTGTTCACAGCAATTAGTTGATGCTGTAAAACTTTGCTTGTCCATCTCAAACACTTGACAATGTGTTTTACAGTATCGAATGATTCCTTGATACAGAAAAGGCTTCCTTCTCCTTTGTGATGCTGTTGGTGATAGTTGTCTTACATCAATATTATCACATTTTGTGTGTCTTACATCATCTTAACACACAGTGGTGATGTGTTCTCATTGGTGATAAAGTGAAAAAATAATATTAAAATCGTAACATATCTAAACCACTCCTAATATTTTTACTAACATAATGGAATATATATATATATATATAATAATATGTAGAACTTAAATTTAGAATAGTAAATATGAAATCACTAATTACGGAAGGATGCAGAAATGCATAAACCGAGCAAGCAAAAGTTTGGCAATCCGATCGACTTCCCTCGCAACTGTTGGAGTCATACACGACTAATTATTACAAGGCACGCAGTGCAAGCGTTAGCATTTGGATTACTCGCTTGTCTTCTTCCAAACACTGCATGTCCCACTCCCGGGATTTCGTCATCTTCTTCATCTAAAATCAGTCCGCAAGAGATGTAAATTTGGTGATAAAGTCGGGTTAATTATATATTAATCTTTTATAATTAATTATCTTTAATATTTTAAAAAAATTATATTGACATTCTTAAGAAAGTAAAACCTTAATATAATATAAAATCAGTTAAAAGCATAATGGTACCTTAGTATAGTATAAAAATTAATTAATATATATTTTAATGTTCGTGTTGATGATAACGGACGGTGTAAGTGGTAACGAACAAACGATGCTGCCACTAAGAACTGTAGGTGACTATTGCGAATGAGAAAAATGACGATGAGAGACAAGGGCCTCTATGCATTTGTGTTGACGCCGACATAATTATAAAACAAATCTCACCTCTCGTTATCACTTTTATCATTCAATAGTCATCCACAGTCTCCAACGACATCGATGTTCGTCATCATCAACGTTATCCATCACAACCAATTAAAATGTTAAAATTATCGTTTTATCTTTTATTTTCGTATTTTTATTGATAAAATCGACGACATTATGATAAATAAATTTAAATATTTTAATTATTGTTATTATCGATGTCAAAATAATTTTTTAAAATATAAAGATGAAAATATTAAAAATGATTGACTATAAAGATGGGTAATATGAAAAATTACGGTCGACAAATTGGTGGACAGAGAGCACTTAAACACTTGGTGGTCATATCCTCCTCTCTCTCTCATAGAAAGCTATCTTTCGTATCGTCAAACCAGCTTGGAGAACTCGAGCATCTCCGCATCGAGACAAGGCAACAGTGCATCAGTATCTTGGACGAGCATTGCAGTACCCACAAACATAAGCATCTCCATGCCCACAGGTCAACTTAAAAAGGGGCATTGGCATCCAAACCTCTACATAAATCTCATTGTCTTCTTCAAGCTGAGAAGTCGCAAGTCCTCGTGCTATTAGGAGACCTGCAAAATGTTATAGATGATTATTAGAAAGTGGTATGTGCTTCCGGATAATATCAAATGTGATTGAAAAAGGTAATCCTGCACATCATAATTAGCTCAGTGAGATCAAAGATGATGTGCATGTCGAAGCTGACATCTCCTTGATTGCTAGTGTTCTTCGTTTCCACGAATTAACGAGGACCAGGAGCACACACACCTGATGATCCTTCCAACCACAACCAAAAGCATGACCATCTAACCACATCCTCCATTTATGCATGAGAGATCATCTAGATCATATCATGTTGGTCCTGGAAGAAGTCTGCAAACAAAGAGTGTTGAGTTACTTGCAAATGTACAAGTCCCACACCTTGAATCAGCTGTACACCAACTGGTCCTGCTAAGAAAAAGCAGAAAGAATCTATGGTAGCTGTCAATGAAATGGACTTTGACAAAATGCTGGTATCTCAAATTGATTAGTAAATTTCTCATTCATAAAATAGTTTTTCCAATGACATAATATTACAGAAACTCAGAAAGCAACCAAACACCATTTCAGCAAAATAATAACTGGTAAATTTGGTACCAGATCAGTTTTCCAGACAGACAGCTCCCAAGAACTGCTTATTATGGTCATTCCACCAGTAAAAATGAATCATAGCAGCTCTGACACCACCATGCATTTGAAATATGAAAAGGGAAAAAGGGGAAGAATGAAGAATGCAGCTGATTAAAAGAAATTCTGCAACCATAGTTTTGATAGTTTTCCAATACTTCCAAAAAGTAGATAGACCATTGAAAGCTTGGAACATGTAGATTTCAAAGTGCATGATCCACTAAATAATGGAACAGTAGAGAATCAGATCAGTATTGTTTAAGCATGTAGGGGTGGTCAGTCAATGCCCATGTGCTGTGGGAAGAAGAAAGGCACCTTTGGAGCTTCCATTCATTCTCCTGTTGTTGGACTGAACATGCAAACAAGCCTTTGTTGGTCTATCATTAACATAAATAATGAGAAACAACAACACAAGTTTTCAGGCAAGGAGTGGAGGAATAGAACTCCAGAGTTCAAACAATAGCAGCCACATCCTCCAGACCACATATTTCTTAGTTGCCAGAAACTCCCAATTATATGTGAAAGCAAGGTGTCTCAAGTCCACCAAACTTAATTAATGTCATGTGAGGTCTTGGTATTTAAACAATTAAGTGGAGCCTTGGTATGCAGTAAGATGCTCTCTCAATAATCACTTCCTTTAGCTGATGAAACTTGTATCCCAAGCATGATAAGGTAATCTCACAAGTTATTTAGTCCCATGCTCAGTGTTTTCATCCCAACCAAGTGACACAAATCTCCTAATTGTGTTTACACATTGTTTTATGTTCCGAAAAGGAAAACAAAAGGCTTAGTTTCAAGCTAACATGAATATCTTATTTTCAAATGTTTAAAAATGCTAAGATGAACTTGTTCTTACAGATCCAAATATTGCAACACTTTATCGCTCTTTAATGACACTAACTTACTGCTTGTGTAAGACTCATACAAGGAATATACAATTTTTTCATCAACCAAACGACAAAATGATCGATACATACAAAATCCACATCCTAAAGAATAACTGACCCCTAATAAAATGGAACGGCCAACAAAAGATAAATATACCACATCGGTCCAGTGACTAGAAATCTCTGATATGCTCCTGAAATGATGCTAAACAGTCTGCATAATCTTACTTATATGAAGGTATGCTCTTAATAACAACTAGCTGCTGCTATTCTCTTTATCAGTAACCACAGATTCTCTGCCACTTTCCTCTTTATCAGCAAGAACAAACTCCACATACAAGTTCTTCAAAGCAATGACAACCGTCATAATTAGCGGACCCATTATGGCTCCCTGAAGGATGATAAACAAAAAATGCTACTTAAGATCTGCATATTAATGGGCATAGATACAAAGAATAAAAATACCAATACAAATTTAACAAAGACAATAACCAACCTGTAAATGCAAGAAAAAAGAAAGACTCCTAACAGGATTATTGGCAAAGAGAACTCAGTGACGAAGTTCAAAAGAATGAAATCGCATGATTGTATATTGTGCCCTTGCAAGAAGTAGCAAGATATACAAAGTGAATCTGTGTTATATTTGTTAAAATCTGAATTCTAGCAAGAAAATATTGTAAGGATTTGTTGCATGATCTCAATACTCTTCTTAAGTTATTGCCTTGCTTTTGTTCGAAAATAAGATTGTTCTCTTTGCAGAGATTTTGTTCCTCTGAACATGCTCATATTTAAATTTTAGCAGCACATGACGTCATAAGATTTTTTTTCCAAGACGAAGTTTTAGTAAGCCAGCAATGTGTTTGCTGTACCATGTCCGGCATTGAGGTATGAACGGATTCAATAATCAGAATCTCATGACAGACATCTCTTTTCCTCAGAAAACATCCAAAACCTCAAGATTATTATCATGTAATTGTGGCAGAGATGCAAAGCGAACAAGGCAACCAATAGGGACATCATATGATGGAATAGTACCTCCAAAGCATTAGGGAACAATGTCATGCCACCAATGATGCTAAGGCCAGTTAGATATGCATTATGCCCAGGTATATCCTCCTGAAGCACCGTAGTACCATAATCCATCATCATAAGGTGGATCGCCGTGACCACAACCGCCCATACAAATTTGCCTTCCATGAACAACTGAACCGCAGCAGGGATCGTTGACAGCCAAAGTGGGAGTATAGGCACCAACGAGCTAATAAAAGCAAGGAGAGTCGAGGTATACACGAAATGAACAGAGCAGAACCTGAATAGCAGCCATGTCAGACAACCTTGGAAGATTGCAATCTTCGCTGTGGCCAAGAACACACTGCTGATGGCATGGTTGATAACCTCGACACAACGTACTCTTGCCCATTTTGACATGGGCAGCATATCCATGACCTGCTCTGTCACCCCGCCTGATTCCGAGGTGATGAGATAATACAACACCCACAGGAAAACCGTCAACTGGGAAACAAAATTCAATACTTCGGCTGCACCCGAGGCCAACTTCAAGGCAATGGATACCATTAAACTAGCACTGCCACCGATGACCGAAGTACTACTCGAAAGAACCCGCTTTGAGATTTCCATCCCTCGGAAAGCAAGCCCTTTCGCTGTCACCACCAGATCCTCTCTGGTGATCAGCAATTCCCTGAAGAACGAGTCCAATTCCTTGTAGATCTCTGCCCAATCGTGATTCTTGAAGTGGATGCTCAAAGATTGGAGCTTTACGCTGTAAGGATGCTGTGCCGAGGCCATCAAAGAGGTGGAAGCGCCTCCCGTGGGGTTCCTGGATCGGCTGATCAAGAATTGCCGGAAACCATTGGCAAAATCTGTAAGATTGTATTCGACCGCCAAGCTATCGATCTGCTGCCAGACAGTATCGTAGAGGTTGGCCGAGTATTGATCCACCAGGCCGGGGATATCGTTGTCGTCCAACCACTTCTTGAATCCGATCCTCTCGGCGTAATTGCTCTTCTGGACGTGGGATTTCAGCGATATCACCGCATCCTTCCCTTCCACTCCGATCTTGTAGGAGAAGAAGATGCCTCCGGCCAAGGCCCCGATAATCATCCAGACGATTAAGCTGACGGCGATTATGGTATTCAGGTGCTTGAGGATGCGTTTGGTGAAGAATCCGCCACCGCCCCGCTCAGAGGGGCGTGTGGAGGACCGACCGCGAACGAAGCTGGCATTTTTTACGGCGGAGGTCGCGGTGGGGCTGGCCAGGAGGAGACCGAGGGCGAATAGTGCGACGGTGGCAGCGGGGCCGAGCTGCTCGTGAGAGATGATGAAGACCCAGAAGGAGACGAGCCAGCGGATGAGGCGGGAAAAGCCGACCTTGCGGGAGGGCCGGAGCTTTCGGCGGAGGATGGCGGTGCGGAGGTCGGCGAGGGTGTCGGCGGAGGCGCGGACGAGGGCAGCGGGGACGGCAAGGAAGGCGGGGGCGAGTCCCAGGTGGAGAGGCGGGGACCAGAAGTCGACGAGGGCGCGCTGGAGCTCGTGGAGGGGGATGGAGCAGAGGAGCGCCCACTGGAGGGGGCGGACGAAGTCGTGGAGGAGGCGGTAGAGGCCGTAAAGGAGGAGGAGGGTGAGGGCGAGGCCGGCGTGCGCCATGGCGATGTAGAGAGCGAGGCGGGCGGCGTCGTGGGAGGACTCGACTGAGGCCGCCTCGGGGGACGGAGGCGGCGGTGCCTCCTGGCGGCGACGGGGATGAGGAGGTGAAGATGGGCGGGAGGGGGGAAGCGAGTCCGGCGGGCGGCGGAGGGAGGCGGCGCGGAACATCTCGGACCAGGGGACGTTCGGGTTACGGTTGGACGCGTAGGGGACGAGCTCCATCAATGGCGACGGCCTCAGCCTCAAGTGAGTCTCCTCTCTCTCTCTCTCTCTCTCTGCCCTTCTCCCACCTGTCCTTCTTAAGCAAGGAAACCGAGTGAAAGGGGGAAGGACAAGACTAATAATGGCTGGCTTGTTATAGAAGTAAATATAAGAGATTATTTTTAATGACATATTAGCACAAATTGGTTTATAATAATAATAATAATTATTATTATTATTATTTTAGTATATATATATATATATATATATATATATATATATATATTGTGGGAGGCTAGCAGGAAGAGATGGATTACAGGGGGAGGGCATGGCCTGGTGAGTGGCAGTACATGTAATGCATCAAAATTAGGGGAGCAGGTGATCCTTGTAAGGACAAAGGCACACTAGTGTAACTTGACTTACTTTTTAGTTTGGATTAGGTACCAATACCACTTTTTAATGGCTTGGTCATGTAATATTAGCAGATCTTTAGCTTAGTTCGCTAACGACCAAAAATAAGGCAGGTCCATTCCAATAGGCTATCGATGCTGACCCAAAGCTTATCTCGGTCCACAACAATTATTATGAGATGAGATGTGGAGGAAGAGCATCGCCTCTTTTTTTAATGACGGAGAGAGCACACCTTCCAATTATAAGCTACAGTTGAAGTTATTTTTTGAGATAATCGAAGTTGAAATATTTAATTTTAATTCTTCTTATATAGTTAATTTCATCGATAAAAAAAATCAAAAGTAAATAAAAAATATATAATTTAAATTATTAATTTTATAAAAACATTTTATCTTAATCGTGTGCCTACCTAAAATAGAGAAATCTAATGAAGGAAGTTTTTAGTTTTACAAGAACATCAATGAGAATTTTTTGATCTTTAAGCCTTACCTTAAAGAATAGGTACCAATACATAAATCAACCAGTGTAACAAAGTCCCACTAACTTCATGATCTTTGGAAGCTGCAAGCACGTAACATTTTTGTCTCGATTTGATTGAATAAAAAAGGACGAGTTAATAGCACCGACGACGATGGAAGATAGATAGCTACACTGTAAGGAGTGCACTGCGGACGTGTTCTCAATCGAATCCCACTGTCATTGCAATGCCATCAGTTGGAGCATTTAGGAGACGATAACATAACTTCAAAAAATGTTAGAGACGAGAAAACGGAAGAGAAAATCGATTAGGACTAGAAGTTAATATAAAATTAATAATTTAAAAAATAATAAAATTATATTTTTATCATTTTCTTTTTCTTGGAGAATGAATCAGGAAAGTCACTCTACATGATCTTTAGCAGATGGTTTCGTGATTGCAGACATCAATCAATCAAATGTGGGGGCCATCGGCTTTAACATAAGAAAAACCTAGAATCCAACATTAACCATAACTTGGTTCTCGGTAAAAGGTAGAGGTCGGTGAAACAATAACCTACATCAGACCGCACTAACAACAGAAGCTTAGGAACTAAACTTGACAAGTCCGAGATGCCAACAATCAAATTTCATTTCAATCTCCCATTACATGAACATCTAAAGAACTAGCAAGAAATCAAATGCTGGATAGAAACTGATATTAAAGCATTCTACACACCAAGGTATGTGGTCTACAAGTCTAGAATAACCAAAAAAAGAGCAAGAAAACACAAACCATAGAGCATCTAATTTGTGTTCTATGTATTACATGGCTCTCACAACAGTCAAACAAGCAAACTAGCAAAGCTTTGATCCGGAATAATCTTCTATCGGTGACCTTGGAAAGATTACAGATCACGAACTATGCATCTGGTGTACTAATGCAAGCTGTCGTGAAATGACTAGAACGAAAAGCATACTGAGGACAAACTGCCAGCACCACTGCCATAGCTTCCCCGACTATGATACATTCCACCAGATTTGGCGCCTGGGCTAGAATCATCATATGCACCACCATAGAAAGCATCATAACGACCAAAGGTATCATCACCGTGACCATAGCCACCGAAGCCACTCGGCCCATATCCACCACCAAGCCCTCCCCCATAAGATCCAAGCCGACTTGAATGACCAAGGGAAGATTCCCCTAGGTTGCCACACCTAATCCTCGATCAAAACCACCATATCCTCCACCGAATTCACCAGCACCAACACCATAGCCACCAAACCTACCACCAAAACCTCCAGGAGTCCTATAGGGACCAGGGCCATATCCACCACCTCCAAAACCACTATAAGCGTTGCCAAGACCACCAAAGCTATCACTAAACGACCGTGGCCTAGGTTCACTACCATATGAAGCCGGCTAGTTTGAGACTTACTTTGGTTCAGCTGTCTTGATCTCCACCTACAACAATGCAACAGCATTAACCTAATTCCTGTTACATGCAAAAGTCAACAGCCTTGGTCAGGAATATCTATGAACCCAAAATCAACCTACAATGCGACATGGTTATCGAATATCAGTGTGGCAAAAATAAGCATGTTAACTGCTTGTTTATCTTCATAATTCCAAAACACAAAATGGAATAGTGCAAAATGCACATGGGGCAAACCTGGATCAATTTTAATGAGATCATTTTTCAACAACTGTATAAAACTCACCTTAGAACCAGCTAGATCAATCATATTTCCCTCAGATAACAAATCATCTACAACTTCTTCCGAATCAAATATGATAAAGCCAAAGCCACATGCTCTGTTGGTTGAATGGTCACGTATAATCCGGTGATTCGCGACTTTTCCATACTTTGAGAAGAAATTCTTGAACTCATCTGCTCAGTTTGTGATATAACAGGAAAAGAAGCGAGGACATTAATCTTCAATTTTATTTTTTTAAAAAAAGGTACTTACTTTGACCCATCTGATCAGGTCATAGTGCTTCAAAAACAGGCAAATTTTCCCAAGAATCCTTCTGCATATTAATATTTATATATTCCTCTGAAGTTGAGAAACTTCATGAATGTTCCAACTCAAAATTTTGCATTGGGCATATGTGGAAAAATTGGGTATCTATAATATAAAATTTTGTTGTCTTTTAAAAGGGAATTCATGTTATATAAAACTGTAGAGGGACAGACATGAAATTCACTTTTTTTTAAAGTATACATAGAAAATTGCTCCTAAAACATAGCAAGAAACTACAAAAAATTAGACAAAGCATATTTCATATTAAGCCTTAACAACTGAAAAGCATTACCTTCTGTAAGAGTTGACCGAATCCCACCAACAAATATTTTCTTGGTTTTAAAATCTTCAGACTGAAGAGAGCCCCGTGGTATAGTTTTTTTGGTTTCAAATTTCAACCTACAGATAGAAACTCATAAGGTGGCAAGTATCAAGAACTTGAAAACATAAGACGAATGACATTTGGTGGCAAGATCAACAACTTCAAATAAAGAACAAATGGCATTTTGAGAACCTAAACAAGAACCTTTAGGAGTAAAACAATTAGGGTCAATGATCCCAACAATTCAAGATCATGATATGGATCTGTTCCTGCCATTGTGCACAGTTGAAGGCAATGTCACTACATAATTATCATTTCTAAGAAGTGCTAATTCATCTTCCTATAGCCATAATAGCACCTCTAGTGTGAATTAGCATGTGTTTCTGGTTCATAGATAAGGTATCTTTAAACATACAATAGATGCAGCAATTTCTTATTCTTTTTTTTTTAGTCCACAGATAGAAAAATTAAATAAGTTAGCTTAAGTCATAAAAAGTTAAATTAAACCAATGACAAACAATAAGAAAAAAAATTTTAAAAAGGGAATACTAGAAAGATTGAGAAATAAAAGCATATACCTTTAAAAGAAAAGAACGAGGACAATTAACAAAGTAGGCAAGGCATATCAGTAAAAGAATAAGATAGACATTCATTCGTTATAAAACATCTCAACCTTAAGAAGTGAACTTAATGATACTGTATCTAGTGGCCACAAACTGTAACTGAAATATGGATAGGACGAATTTATGATATGTATCAAATCTCTATGCAACCATCTTAAAAGTGTAACCTTAAGATATATTTTAAATATTGAAATCTTAAAATATACACTTAAAAATTGACTATATGACAACATATAAAAAATAATTTTCTATTATTTTTAATTCCTTCACAAATGAGAATTACAATCGAATATTGAAGGCTTGAGATAAATGTTTACAGTTCCTCAAACTGCCACCAGATGGTTCAACTAAATGTAACTTCATTTGTTTTAAATAATTGAATATATCAATTAGTGGATAACTTGCGCAAAAGAGTCAAATAAACAGTTTAGATAACCTAAAGAATGACCTGTCAGCATCATTTGTCAAAACATAAAGGACAAGAGGCCCTGTGTTATTACGAGGCTAATAACAAATGACAGAGACAAGTCAAAAATTGTAACTAAAATGCTGTGACAAATTGATGGCATAGTACCACTTATTTCAAAAGATGATTGTTGACAAAACAAAATAATTACACACACACTCTTAAACAAAACCCCTTTCTGCTCGTTTGTCCATTTGATTTCTTGACCAATCTAGAATATCCAGAGAGTGTCTCCCCTCTTTAAGACTCAATGACTGCTTACCTTGATATTTTAATTTGATTTTGTAGGATGCTGGTGGATCATCTCTCACATTCTTCCTCTTAATATCCAGAGTATTAAACCATTCAAAATGTTCCAAAGAGTACTCTATCACATGCCCTACCCATGAGTGATCAACAACTGTAACCTTTTTATCTCTTTTGCATTTGAGACCCATGTCATAACATATTCCCATATCCATTCAAAATCATATAGATCTTCGTTACTTGCTCTTATAAATCCGTAAACATTATAACTAACAAATATTAAATTTAGTCTCACTCTGGAGGGCAATTAACCTTAGCTAAGTCCATATTTAGCCCCTTCCTTTTAGAAAAGCAAAAAGTACTGAAGTAGTTAATTAAACTTCAATGGAACTAATTTTTAATATTATCAAACAACTCTATTTCTCTTGTTTTATAAGTTCTATAAATTATATGTCATGTATGAAATGGAACATTTTCAATTTACATACTCAGATCAATCATAATGCTCCTTATTTTGCCACTATTTCAATGCATGCATGAAAATATGCAAGGGTTTCAAACTATGAAATCCAAAATGCCTATGGAATGCAATCCCTAACAAAAACATGCTAATAGTTATTTGACTAATAACTCGATCAATAGATAACTGATTCTTTGAAGCTTGCAAGACACTTTTTCCCATTGATAAAATGTGTGTCCTCAATTACGTTGTCAACAAGTGAAGGATTAGCAAAAGTGACAAAACCAAAACCCCTCAGTCGAGATGTGTTCTTATCCATCATTATTACAGCATCTATTATATCTCCATACTTGCCAAAATGGTTCGTAAATGTAGCTGGAAAAAACTGACTTAGAAATACAGAATGCATGTGATGAATAGTCAATTTTCACAACCACATGAAATACAACCAATAATTAAAAGTGTGAGTATATGCAGCCAACAATAATACCTAGGATTAGTATCAACCAGTATAGATCCCTGGTATTGGTTAACAACATATCTATATTAAGGCGTATTCCTTGAAAGATGAAACAGTGAAAGCAAGAAGTGTCGGGAAAAAAAAAAACAAATCCAACAGGTTTCTTTTACTGTTGATAAATGTAGCTCAATTGACACGGTTTCTGATGAACTATCACAACAAAAGAATGGTCGCTCCCAGCTAAACCGGGATATGTAAAAAAAACTGCATGCTATGATTGCAAGTTTAATGCCTCAGAGAAAAGACAATACACGTGCTGCAGTGGTATTTTATGATGCAACAATAATCATGTAATCAATGCTGGGCACACCACAGGTGCCAAGAAGAAATTGATATATCAATATAATATATCCACTTCTGGAGAATGATTCAACCTCCAAAAGGAACTCCACCAGGTTAATTAATCAGGAACAATCAGATTGGAAGAGTCTGACGTCAAACACAAAGGATTACAGTAATAGTTTCCTATCAAACGAGAATCAAGGAAAAACAAAGTAAGAGGAAATAATGAACCAGATGAAAGGAAAGCCTAAAATACACCAAAATCGATGAATGAATCTGTTGAGCTTCGTAGTCTTTCGCGACTTCGTGGCCAGAGAATCCATCTAAAATAGCGAAAGGAAAAAATAACTCACATTAAAACTGCATCAGGAGCCAAATCCCTAACACAATCGCAAATTCTACATCCAGGCGAACCACTAGAGCTCAACAAAGAGAAGCAAAGGCTCTACAAGATAAGTCAGGATCTGAAGCAGGTCGTAGACTTCCCATAGATAGTATCCCGGTGCAATCCACCAACAAAAATCTTCATGCGGCAAAAAAGGTACAGATTCAGCGAGGAAGAAAAACCTATGGTAAGGCCCTCGAACGAGGACCGAACGCAACAATGAATGAAGATCTCACCCAGCGCTGGCTCCGTCGTTCTCCCTGGGCCTCGTCCCGTCGTTCCTCGCCATCGATCCCATGGCCGCCGCTCTCCTCTACCGAGGGATTCCTTTTCCTCTCTTTTGTCGGTGAAGGTTCCAAAGGCGGAAGAGAACCGACCGAGGCAGCATACGTATCACGTGACATGCCTCGCGCTCATCCGGCGAATAAAATGGACCGTTGATCTTTCTCGTCGAACGGACGTGATGATGATGGAGAGAGGCCTTCCCTTTCTTCGGCGGAGATCTCACCTGTCTTGGCGGAGGCAGGGAGAACTTCCACTTATGCGTATCGCTAATTACGTATTACCCCCCGTAATTAATTATCTTTATTTATAATAATTTTTATATTTTAAAATATTCATATTAAAATTTTATATTTATTTAAATAAATTATTTAATCTCATTTTTTTCTCACGTCATCAAACTCTATTGATGGAAAGTCATGTGAAAAAAATGATATTAAAATAAAATTTAAAAATAATTTTATATGTTATTTCGATTAATTCCTATTACATGCACTTATGTTCTTGGCCAACAATTATTCTCTTCAACTTCTTGGGAAGAGAGAAGAAGCAACTTCTTGGGAAGAGAGAACAAGGTTTTGAACCTCGAAGAAGCACTCTGAGCGCATCGCGTGAAATCAAGTCATTATCTTGAGTGTTGCGAGCTTCATGACTAGACACTTCAATTTAAATATGCTCAAGTCGTCTTTTAATGGGGTAGCAGCAGTCACAACAACAGCAGCAACAATAACTGCAACAGCACGATGGGTGCCAATTTGATGTCGATATGGCCTCATTCATGTCCTCCAAGCCAACCCCCTAACTCACATGCTCTAAATCCTCGGTGTCGATCCCCTCTATTTGTCACAGTAGTTATTGTTACAATTGGTAGAGTTTACACCAATGTTGGTCAATCGTTGATCCCCGACTCCCATGGATGCAGGCAATTTCAATGAGCTATCCTCCATCGTGACCAGCAGCTTTCACGACAATGAGGCCCTCATTGTTGGCTACGAGACCGAGTATGGTGGCACGCCCGGGAGCCACCAGCCATAGTAGGAAACGCTCATGTTGCTCAAGATCAGCTCTGAGATGGACGTCGCCTTTTGAGACACTAGAGAAGACCCTTAAATGTGGCATCTTTCTTAGAGCGAATCTTGAGCAATGTGAACATCTCTTGCTACTGCCAGTGGCGCCTGGGTGTGCCACCACGCTTGACCTCATGGTTGACGATGAGGTCCTCATCGGCGTGAAAGACCCTAGCCATAGCGGAGGACAACTCAACGAAATTGGTTGCAATCGTGGGTGTTAAGGGCCAACGATTAATGGGCATCAATGAAGACTCCACCAACTACAATGATGGCTACTATGGTGGATGGAGGGGGCCGACGTGAGGGATTTGGAGCATGTGAGTTGAGGAGTTAGCCCTGGAGGATGCAAATGGGGCCATATAAATAATGAACCGGGACGTGCTTTGCTACTACAACTACGACGATGGTTGTTGCTGTTACTGTGGTTGCTGGTACTACTGTATGGTGCTGCTAACTCAACGGAAGACGACCGAAGCATCTCCATATTGAAGTATCCCGTCGCAAAACTCGTAACACTCAAGACAAAGCTCGCAGAGGAGGACAACGACACATACGATGACTTGATTCCAGATAATATGCTCACGAGGAGCACTTTTTCAATGTTCAAAGTCTTATGCTCCCTTCTTAGAAGCTGAAAAGGAAAATTGCTTGTCACGATAAAAGTACAAACGAAAGGAATTAATCAAAATAACTTATGAAATTATCTTTTTAATTATATTTTAATTATATTTTTATATGATATTTTTATCAACAGAGTTGATGACACGAGGATAAACAAAAATAAATATTTTACTTTTGTAAGTATCGAGATCTCGATATAACTTATAAAAATATAAAAAATAATATATTAAAAATAAATAATTAAATAAAAAAATAATACGTAATTAACCTTGAGGGACCAAGCTGGAGCCCACAAAATAGTATCAGTCTGTAAGAAAAAAAAATGGCGTCCCTTCCATTAACCGGGACAGCTGATCGTCACCGAGAGAACAATGATGGTCGGAGATCCCCGTTTTGGTAGCGACATCCTCCCGTGATCCAGACCATCTATCGTGTGAAGGAACGAATCTCAAAGATGGCTAATGTGTTGATGGATGGCCCTCGTGCGAGCGTGGCCAACATGACGTCATCGGGCCATGTACATATTGGCTCAAAGAAGAAGCCCATTCCAAGAAGCCCATATGAAGCAATATAAGATGGAAGTGAGTCGGCAGTCCAAAGTTTCGGGGATTTCCGTGGATAGATGCTGCGGTCGATACTACGGGCGGGGCGACCGATCCGCGCGGCCGCCGGCGATGGGCCGGGTGAACTGCTGAGGGCGCGAATCGGAGAGCGGGAGCGCTGGCGGCGGGGGCGGCGGGACCCGGCCAAGGACGAGTTCTTCGTGCCGGTGCGGGAGTCCGCCAAGTGGCTTGACACGCTTACCTGGCCCATGGCCCTTACTGCCATCGCCGTCGCCCTCTTCGCCAAGGTTCTCATGATGGTGCGTCTCAAAATCTATTGCCTTTAGGCGATGCTCTATGCGAAACCCCACTTTTCCTCTTGTTCCCTCTCTTGGGATTGTTCGTCTTGAAGCCCTAATTTTTATTGGGTTATCCAAATCCTTGATTTATTATTATTTTTTCCGGAGTTAATGTGCTGCGGGTTAGACCTCACGTATCAGGAGATAAACTCCAGAGAAAACTGGAAGTAAGTGTGGATGCCATATTATCCTGGTGAAAGCTCACAGTATTTGTTTTGCTACATCAGGTTTAATAGATATATTGTGCCAAATTATTGAGTTCTCTGACATCGTCGTTGTCCGGCATTGCATGATAGTTAAGACTTAAGAAGCCATTTTCCGAATCACGAATTTTTATAAACCCTGCATTCTAAAGGTTTTAGAATAACGACTTTAATTATTATTTATTGATAACTATTCTTTCTTTCTTTTCTTTTATTTTCAAGTTTAAACTTTATGTGAATTAATTTATTCTCTCCTAAGCTTCATGAATCATTGCTCTCCTAGAAGTCTGGTGAGCTGGTTCCTACATGTTAAGTTTCAAGTCCGATAGTGCATGATAAGGAATTTGTTTTCTCTGTTTCTATCAGGGATTAGGACCTAGAGGGCTTTGGCATTGAACTGAGATTATTCAATTTGGAAGATGATATTGGACTTTATTCAGATTTACAGTATAGAATGAACAACTTGTAAAATTAAAATTATATTTGAAGGCACTTGTCACCTGACATACAACGTAATGACTAGATTTGTTGATAGAAACAATACTTACTTAAAACCCTTGGCTTTTCTGGGACTTCAGGTATATGGGTCTTGACTTGTCAATATATTTTTATTCCTTAATAGTTAGACTAAATGTCTAGGTTGATCAATTTCGTACTTTGGTATATGAAATTATCATGAATAAAAAGACAAAGGACTTCATGTCATGCTTGATGCAGCACATAAAATCAATCAGTTTCAAGTCTATTACAGATGGCATCAGGGAACTCCGTGAATTGATCATTTTTTCAAATGCATGACAACCACTGTAGAGGAAATGCCTAGTGCAACTGAAACTTATTTTTGTATTTCTTTGCAACTCAGTTTGGAAAGTGTGATGGAATTTCATCTTGATTGAGGTGATAAACCAAGGGCATAATAGAAGAATCTGCAAGAGCACTTGGAACATGACTGAGAAACGGTAACAGTAATCAAAGTCCTAAAATGGTCTTATGTAATCCCTTTTCGTGGCTCTCAAGTTGTTGTTTGTCAACTATTGCATTGGTTTAGCTATTTGTTTGCTTATTTTATTTAATTTGAAATTTACATGATATTTATTTTGGTAATCAATCATCAGTGCATTGACGAATAAATTACTTATCAACTTTTAGGCGTTCTCCCGTAAATCTTATTAAAATTGATCCTTAGTAAAGACTTTTGGTTGTGAGCTTTTAGTAACCTAACCAATATGTCAGTATTAGCTGAGATAAATGTATAGTTTGAAACCATCATCCCACATTTTCTGATATATTCTTTTGTAAGTACTTGTTTGGCTTCCATCGTATATGGATGTATGTTGCTCATAAGGGTGACAAGAAACTGGTCGCATGAAAACAGTCTATGAACCTTCGTGGAGTTAAAGTTTGTCTTTTGAAGAAAAAGAATGACCTTGGAATTGGTTTTATCAGACATACCATGTTCGGTCTAAAAAATTGCCTATCTAATATTCACTGGGTGTAATATTTGTTCAGTTGACCTACCAATTTGTTGTGTAGTGCCCTTGTTATTCTAGTAATTGTTTGATTTTTTTATTCAAGCTTGTAGTTAATCATTGGCACTTAATATATAGCAATCATTTGGACATTTTTTTATCAATCTTGTAGTCCTTTGGCACTCAACATATAATAGATGCTATTGGCAGATATATATTCTTTGTTGTTTGGTTTTGCTTGTATGTTATAAGAAAAAACTTAAATGTAAATCTGCATTGGTTGTGTTCGCAGATTGATGAATCTAAGGCCGAAGAGAGAATGGAGCGCAAAATACAAAAAGGCCCTAAGGGTCAAGGAACTGTTAGAATGCTTTCTCGCGAAGAGTGGGATGCAATCCAGGAATTACGGCCAAGAACTCCTTTTGAGTCTAGGTTTGCTCGTCCAAATGCACGCATTAGAACTGGAGAGCCAGTAAAGTTGGTATGATTTTCATGTTGTTAAAATCATAATCAATATTGTATATGGATTAAATTTGAATCTCCAAAGGGTTATTAGTGACATATGAGTGAATTTATTTCTTATTATTTTTGTTAGAAACCTAGAAGCCATGCTAGTCATGATTAGCTTTTCACACCATCATCCAAGTGGGAGCTGAAGAATTTTTAGTTTACTAATTAATTACTCAACGCAAATCTGAAAGGCTCTTCTAATCCATTCTTCTCAAGACTCTCAAACATTCAAAACCTCATGAGTGTCTGCTCATAATGATCTTTTTGGCATTGTATGAGATTGATCATCTTGTTTGTTTCCTGAGGAATGACTATTGAACCTACATTCTTGCCATTTGACTGCAGGAGGATGTTAAAGATTGGACCATCGATGTGTTCAGAGATGCTTTTACAAGAGCAGAAGAAAGTGTCAAGCGAAAGAAAACCGATAGCTAGCTTCATAGCGCACACTGGCTCATTTGTAGGAGAATATGCAGAAATGAAAGTTACTATGCGGTTGTATGGTTCATCACTGGATCAACTCCTCCTGGTCCATGTCAGATATGAGAAGTTGAAGAAACCCATCTGAGGATGCATAATAAAATTATCTGGAATTCCTTATTGTCTGGCTTGAAGTAGTTGATGTTCTTTTCCCACAAATGCAGTTGATTGTATTGGCAGGACATCTTCTAATCGAATTATGCATATATATATATATATATATATATATGTGACTACTGAATGGTGTCAAGTAATTGGTTGTCATTTTTTTGAAGTGCCTGCTTGGCTTTTTTGAGAAAAGGCAAAGTTCAATTACAATTGCAATGGGCTTTGGATATTAGAAATTGATGACTTACACAGGTGTATTGCTTATCGTGGTGTTTGGTGACAGTTCAGTTTTGGAAATTCTGTATCTATCAATTGGAAAGTTCTGCATTATTTCAGTCCATGTAGTTTAGATATGACGACACAGTGGAAATAACTTGGAAGAGATGTTTCTAGGAGCATATTTTGCATGGGGGGTGGTAAACTATGAGCTTGACTTCTACTGGTTATGAGATTGATCCAGAAAGCTTTCAACCATGAAATTGAAGTATCTCTGTGGTGTTCTAACAAAATTAGTTGTAGGAGTATCTCCTTTTTATATTCTTTAATAGTTTTTGAAGGATATTTCGTATTTGTCATAGCTCAACTCTCCCTAACAATACCACGGGAGATAAATTGGTTCATAGTTCATAGAGTAAATTAATTCATTGATTTTGCTTTGTTGTCATTATGCTATAAAGCAATTTAATCTCCAAAGTGAATTTTCTTTAAATTCACTTCTTTTTTTCTTTTTACCTCATATCTATGCGTAGTAGTTAGTCACATTTTCCGTGGATCAAATTAATGTATTTTAAGTGCTTGTCACATTTAATGAGCATATGGTTGATGTTTCTCTTCATTTATTTATTAGGTCAAACGAGTCGTGAGGGCTATTCAGGTAATATCAGCTAACAGAAGGTGGGGGGGGGCAATTGCGTACGTTTGACAAGGCTTCGTCAACGCCTCTCCGGTAATATTGTGGAAGTAAAGGGGGCGATTTGCAAAAACAGCCAAGTCAAATTCGAAATATCACACGTGTCGCCAGGAAAGTTGATGATCTCCTGTATGCTGTTGGGTAGAAACATGGCATATCCTCGGCCGCTGGCAAAGCCCCGATGGCTAAGCCTTTGGGTCCTCGTGATCTCTCTTTCTCTCCGTGCGATCGAAAAGATCGGGCCAGCTCAGTTCCCATTACACCTCCCCCTGTTTCCCCCATCATCCCGATCTCGCCGTGTCGGGGTATTTTGAACCGGGGGGATAGCGGAAAACCTAGAAGAAGAAGAGGAGCAAGGACAACGAGCTGCCAGCGCCCGCTTCGTCGCGGTCCGACGGGCAGAAATGGCGCAGAAGCTTCAGCAGCAGCTGAAGGAGGTGGGATCGAAGCTTCAGAACCCTCCCGCGTCGAAGGACGCCCTAATCAAGCTGCTTAAGGTCGGTATCCTAACTCGAACCTTGAGAGCTTTTGCTTCGGGTCGTTCTTGTTCGAGGTCGTGGTTTCTAGGGTTTTGGAGTCGAGCAGTCTCACGAGGCTGGAATTAGGGTTTGTATCGGCTGGGAAGTGGAGCTGAACGGAGATTTTGGAACCCTGTCACGTTTTGGTTAACGAAAATGTGGTCTTGGCGTGTTTCAGATTAGAAAGTTTGCATCTTTCGATGCAAGGGTTTTTAATTGTAGCGAAAAATGTGTTCTTTAATAACATTCTTGACTTCCTGTGGAGCACATAACTTTATTTTCATTAACCTAGAAATCAAAGTTGGAAGAGCCCAGACCTTCTGAAGAAGATCATTGGAACATTTTCCTTGATCTGACGAATAGATATCTTTGCAATTGCATCAGTTATATTGGAGTGTTTAAATAGGTTGGTTTCATCAGCGGTTTTGCGATATTGTTTTACCAGTCAACTTTCTGAGATTTGATGAATGCATCATGGATGTACTTAGGTTTTAACTTATTGGCAGAAAGATTACGAAGTATAGATTCACTTTCTGTGCTACCTCAGGATTTTTGTTGGTGATGAGCTATACTTGATATCTGGATGTTTAACTGTCTGGCTAATTGCGTTCAAGGGTGATCACAACAACAATCTTCCTCTCCCATAAACCTTTTTTTAATATACTTTGAACTCAGGCGTAGCATATGGTTCTGCATTGTTGTTTCTAATTTCTAATAAAAAATTCAGTCTGATTCCATCCAGAGTTGTTATCAGTTTGTAAGTTTAGTCTTTAATCTTTGAGAGGTGTACTGTTGTGATTGGTGACAGATCAACTGACCAGAGTTTTAGTTCACACTCACTTTGCTTTGATGGACATTCATGGAGATGCATAGCGTGTTCCAATGTGGTCCACATACCACAAGCCTTTATAGCTATGATATCATGTTTGACATGAACAGTGTCCAAAAAGCATGTGGGCGAAGCACCAAGCTAGTATTTGAAAGTTCTCTTTCGGATAGTAGCAACATTCATTAACCAAAGCCATAGCCCATACTCGATATAAGACTATTATTAGGAATCATAGTGCATATCTGCAAACTTTTGCATTATTATTGACACATGTTAACTGAATATGCATAAGCAAAAAAGTTAACATTACATAGCGGTTCATTTTGGTTAATAAGATTGATAACCTGATTAAGGACTATTTTTAACGTTAAAATTTTAACTATAACTTGAACAAGCATAGGAATTGTCCATTTGTCATTTAAAGGCTCATATATAAAGCAATCTAATTGATTTTTCTCAAACAGTCAACAATATAAATGATAATTAATGGTCGATATTGGTTTCACCATTATCCTTTTCTTCTTTGCATGCCTTAGAGGAAAAAGATTTCCTTTTAGTATTTCAGGTCTCAAGAAAAGTGCAGGAAAAAATAGGGCTTTTGAATGTGACTGTAAAGTAATATAATTCCAGTTAACTTGGAAATTGGCACAATGATTTTTGCCTAACAACAACTGTTTGGGAGATTTTCAAAGAACTTGGATATGTTGAATATTATAGTTCTCATGGGCTTAACCGAATTAGAAATTAGATCTATCAAGGGCTTTTTGGCTTAAGCAAAAATTTATACCATGCTATAAGACAACAACCCATAATGCGATTCATTTGAAGTAAACCAAGTCCGGGTGAGAGAATTGAAATTCAGGTTGATTTTGGGTTATAACCTGACACTATGTGTCTTGGCCTTATTGAGTCTACTCACTCAAGTAAAAGATGATCAGTACAGAACTCTTCACATGTATACATCTGATAACTCTTACTAAGCCGTACATGGTACATTAAGTTCACTTGAACAAGAATCACAATGCCCAAAACTATTTGGAGTTGACTATATTGACTGTTCCTTATCATTAATCTTTATTTAAAGAAATACCACTAGTCAAGCTAAGAGTTATCGAATATTTAGGTTTTCCTCTAATTCTCACACCACTAGTCGTAATCAACTCAAATTGTCTAACCGAGGCAACTATAAGTATCCTTAGTACATTCTGATATAACATATCGAATGACTTCATTCTCATTTTATCATCCGTTGGAACTATATCTAATTGTTCACAGATTGAAACATTGCTTATCTTTCTCTTTCTGTAACCAAACAATCATCAATATCCTCATCTTGGTGACACCAAGTAATTAGAACTTAAAAAGAAGTAACATGATTTGGGCTTTGGCTTTCTCCAGTTGTTTTAGTGTGTTTCACCTTTTGTTCATTTGAAAAATTGATTTTTATGCTTCTTTGCTCCTAGAGGCAAGACTATGTACATTGAACCTCTCCAAGCCCCATGTTTGTGAGTTCAGGCTCTGGTCTTTCCTTTAGCTTTACTATGAAATAATCAATCTTTAAGGTGTTGTCAATGCTTCCCTCTGCAATAATGCAAGTGGAGATTCAAGTTGTCAACTAATTATTTTCATTTGGATGTGTAGCAAGCTGAAAATTGTCTATCTGAGATGGAGCAGTCACCAGAGCCTTCAATCTTGGACTCGATTCAGTCTTTTCTTAATGCAATTGCAAAAAAAGAATTGTTGACACATCAAGATCGAGATGTCAAAGTTCTCGTAGCAACTTGTGCTTGTGAAGCCACCCGAATAACGGCACCAGAAGCTCCTTACAGTGATGATGTTCTGAGGGTTGTTATCTTACTGTGTAGAGAATTTTTGCATTGGAGTTTAAAAATAAAATAGTGTTCATGCTGAATTACATTTTGATCTCTTTCTTTCTGATTGAAATTTGTTCTTGCAGGATATGTTTCATTTGATTGTTGGGACTTTTGCTGGATTAGGTGATATTAGCAGTCCATCGTATGGGAGAAGGGTTGTTATCCTGGAGACTCTTGCTAAATACAGGTCATGTGTTGTAATGTTGGATCTTGAATGTAATGATCTCATACATGAAATGTTCAGAACATTTGTTTCTGTTGTCAGGTGAGTTAACATTTGACTTTGCAGACATTTTCCTTGTAATTAGATTGTGTCTTGTTTTGTTCCCTACCACCTGTGCAAGGATGATAAGGCAAGCTAAAGATCAGAAAGTTACCATTAGATTTCATTCTTATTCAAGCATAGAAAAAAAATAAAAAACTTTAAATGGTGTTCTTATACGAGTGGTAAATCATCATTTGTTAATCAACAAAGAATCAAGATTCAGTGCAGTACTGGATTCCCACTTGAGCAATTTCATGTGAAGAGCACATGGGAAGAACAAAAAGCTATGATGTAATATAAAACATATAGCTAATGGTTACACACTTGCATCGGTCGTAAACTGTTGAGGAAAAAGGTTTTTCTAAATCAAGGTAGAAAGCTGATCGAATTGGTAGATTTTAGGAATTGTAAGGTCTAACAATTCAGATTTTCTTCGAGTTGTATTTGAATTTGCATCTTGTTGAAAGTTTATGTTGGCCTATGAAGCAATTTTAGGATTCATGAGAGCCAAGTGTCACAGGAAAAAAATATTGCTGATCCTGAAGAAGTTTGGCCCTTTCTTATCAGCATAGTAGGAAATGCCGACTAAAGAAGTTTGGCCCTTTCTTATCATGAGAGCCAAGTGTCTTGTCTGGACAATTTCTAGGTAAAAGTCATACTCGTATCTCTAGGATTATTGCATTAATAAACCTGCATGTTTTAATTATTAAGGCTGGGTTGGGAAGCATGGCAACTTCCAGATTTTCCTGTTGGCTCTAAACAATATTTAATCCAAACTGAAATATAGATATTCGCATCCATAGTGAAACAAGATGGTGACATTTTGTCACATGTTGCACCTTAGAAAGTCCCCTCTATGTATGTCTATGGTTTCCTGTCCATTTTCTATTATATATGCTCTCTTAGACAACCTAAATCAATTTCAGGTTACACTGTTACAGCAAAGGACTTTGTATACGACACTTGGTCACCTGTTGCGTGATGGAGAAAGCAATGAAATTTCTGTAGCATTAATTGTATGAATTGTAATATTTAGAATTGGTTCTCTTAAGAATTAACATCATATATTTTTGAATGCTTGTATCATCTGTATATACAGTTGGATTATATTATCAAGGGATGAATATAATTGGTGTGCAATCATCTTTTGAACAAGCTGAATATTTATCATTTGGTATCTGCTTGACTTATGATAACTTACAATTTGCAGCGATGATCATCCCCAAAACATTCTTACATCAATGCAAACGATCATGATCCTTATTCTAGATGAAAGTGAGGATGTACAGGAAAATCTTGTAACTACCATACTTTCAGCTTTGGGCCGTAAAAAAAATGTAAGCCTTCTTATTCTACTGGATTCTTCCTTTCAGTTATGGAACATTTTTTATATCTTATTTAATAAATGTTTATAATTTATGGCACTAGGGGTATTCTATGGCTGCACGGAAGCTTGCGATGAATGTTATAGAACATTGTGCAGACAAACTTGGACCATGCATAGTGCAGCTTCTAGTGTCTTCACTGTCTGACGACAACAGTTATTTGGATCATTCACTTGATCATCATGAAGTCATCTATGATATATATCAGTGTGCACCCCAAATTCTTACAGGCATAATTCCTTATATAACAGGCGAGTTGTTGGTATGTTTCCATTCTCTTGACTATATATTGCTGATTATTCTCACTATGTTCTTTTTTGAAATGCCACTTCCAACAACATTTGACAATTGATATAGCATTTATATTTAATCTATACAACCGATATCTTATTTCTGGGTTTCAACTTGACTATAATCATAAATAACTTTCATATGTCCTGTTTATGATGAGGGTGAGCCTTGGTAGTATGGTAACATAGCTCCTTTGTTGTTTGGATGATTTGAGTTTGAATCACAGAACAAACAGTTGCTTGCTCTGACAGGATCGCAATTGCATACATTGACCCTCTTGGACCCCATGTTGATGGGAGCCTTGTGTACTAAGTCATCCTTTTCTCGTCCTGTTTGTTTTGAGTTTTGAGCACCATGTTTCTCTGACATTGAATTTTTGGACTCTGTTAGAAGTTAGAACTGCTTTTTGGTGTTAGATGTGCATAGATTTCTCTTGCCTCTCCGCATGCGAAATTTTTGGACACTTGGCTAGGTTGTATCTGTTGCTACCAACCAAGGTTTGAAAGATAGAATCGAGGTTCAAAATCAGCAACAATCTTTGTGATTGTAAACTTGCTGGATACTGTCAGGATATCTGCAGTTTTGTGGAATTGATGTAGCATCATTGAGTACGAACTCTTGGGATCAGTGCAATTCATTGGAATCAATCAAGAACTATTTAAACTGGAATAACCCTGGATCAGTTGGAGTTGTCCAATCCCACTTGTTTATTTGCCCAGAGTAGTATAACCCCTAGAAATTAGGATATTTCAGACTGGTTATATTCTATCTCAACTCAGATACATAATAAACTATACCAGCTTTGGCATTGACCTTGGCAATAATGCACTTTTATAGGAAACTTTGATCTCGTCAACAGTGAACTAAAACTCATGCAAAATTTTATTAAAATTTAGCAAATCGGAAAGTTATAAGTCAATTGCTTCAGTGTGATTTATGATTTTTTAGTAAATTGAAGTCAATATGGTTCTGTGAATCATTCGCTAAGCAATATCATGTGTCATGCGAGTGGTTATTCACATTGATAAGATGACGTGAGCTCCTTAGACTAGGGTTGTGTTGGTTGGTTCTAGCTCCAGAACATAGCTTCTTATAGCAGAGGTTGTCATGTTTGTCTTCTACACTCTTTCAAGAATAAGGGAATTTGGAGTAACACTCTTTCAAGATTTAAGGGAATTTTGGAGGAGTGCTCAAGCACAAGGGTGGATCTTTCTATTCAAATCATGACTTTGCTCAAGCTCACTATACAGACTAAATTACCCTGATTCAAGCACTAGGGTGGATCTTTTATTGCCTCCATTTTCTTTCATGACCTGAGCCCAAATCATGACCTTTCCAGAGAAATTCAGGGATGATTATTCACAAACACAGACTACATGTTAGTTACATCTATCATGAGATTGTTTGGGGTGTACAATCCCCCTATTCAAAATATTGACATTCTCTGATAGGTTCCATTAGATCACCATGATCCACTATAAGTAATATTGAATTTTAGGAGTGCCACAAGCTCACCATGCTGCTGCCGTTGTCCATGTTGCTATCATTGCAATCAAAGATTTCTAACATGGCTCATATACAGTGGGGAAATAATCCTTTGATACCACATTTTTCAGAACTCAAGTAAATTTCTAGCCTAATAATCCTCATCCAACATTGTTCAAAGTTCCTTATTACAACTATTCAAGTTATCAAACTCCTAACTCTATGTATGTGTAAATGTGATCCTTTTTTCCCTAATGTGGAACTAGTGTCCATACATGAATTTCTGGTGCTGTTGTAAGATGAAATCCAAAATCACCTCTGTAATTCTAGTGGTGGATTAGTCTGTGGTTCTTTGTCTTGTCACACACACCAACCATTCCCATCTTGATGCATGTTAACTTTATTAAGAACTATTGGTGTTACTTCTAGACCATTTAAAACAATTGACATAACCTATTAATTCAATAACTTATGTTAAATAGGCTTCAACATACGGCTTAAGAAGCTTAAACCTATATTATCACTAACATTTTAATCAGGGCATGGCAACCCTCCCAAAATTCTAGTTGTGGGACTGTCAAGGTGTCACATCACTCGTTTAAGAAATTTTCACTAGTATTAGTGCCAAACAACTATCAGAAAGCTTGATCAAATGTTCCATGGAAATTTTCAATTTTATGACTACAGTTGACTACTTGTTTTCTGGGTGAAGGCATATGTAATGATGCATTACTCTTGGCATCTATTAGAGATTATATTCGAGTATCCAGTCTCATGAAGTCTTCTAACCAATCATGTATGAAAGAAGCTACATGTTCGTTCGTAGAGGGACTAGCCTCACCTTTTATGGATCTTAATTTTCGAGATACTTCTGCGCATCTTTGATGGATCTCAAATTTTCACATTTCAAAAAGTTATGAATTAATTAAAGATGTCAGTATGTTATTAATAATATAATAAACATTGCCTAAGAAGGAAATGCATAATGAAGTATGAACACACAAATTTGCACACAAAATAACTTCTTGCAATGTGGCAGCCCAAATTCATTTCTTGTCTTTCCATCTTTGTTAATTATTTTATTATTTTTAATTTGTTTATTATGTTAAAATATTATTTCTTTCTTTTTGTAAGCCATGAGAGCCAAGTTTGTGAATTCTTACTTAAAGTTATAAACTCTTTGTTTGTCTTCTAATGTTAATGATATCTTTTGAGGATGTCACTTCTTTTTATTGTTAGTGAAGTTTTTTACTTGGTCGTCACCTTTTAGACATCAAATTTATGATGGATAACCAAAAGAAAACTGTTGCATATTTTGTTATGAATTTATTTAGTTTGTAAGCCTTGATGGTATACTGAGAATGTCACATTATTTAGTTCCATCGTCTTAGCTTAACTCACTATAATTAAATTCAACTGGAAAGCTTTCTAAAGGTTTTTTAGATGGTTATTTTATTTATGATTCTGATTTTTAAACTTTGAAATTCTTTAGACAGATAAGTTAGATATTCGGCTTAAAGCAGTTCATCTACTAGGAGATCTATTTTCTTTAGCTGAAGTACCTATCTCTGAAGCTTTTCACCCAGTCTTCCTGGAGTTTTTAAAGAGATTGACTGATAGAGTAGTGGAAGTCCGCCTGTCTGTGATTGAACACTTGAAGAATTGCTTGATTTCAGATCCTTCCCATCCTGAGGCTCTCCAGATTATAAGTAAGGGGCCATCTGTCTGTATATTTTATCTTCTAATTTATTATTCTTCGGAATAATTGGTGATATGCATTGTGATGTTTATCTTCCAGAGGCACTTTCTGATCGAGTGTTGGACTACGATGAAGATGTTCGCAAGAAAGTTGTTGCTGCAGTTTATGATGTTGCTTGCCAATCATTAAATGTCATTCCACCCGAAACTGCCAGTCTAGTGGCAGAGCGTATCCGAGACAAATCTGTTTGTATTTCTTCTCTTGTTGACAACTATTCTTTTGTATTTTATGATTGATTTGTTGACCTGTAACTTTGTTAAAATGTCTTAGTTGACTGTAAAGAAATATACCCTGGAGAGGCTAGTTGATCTGCATCGACTCTATTGCTTGAAGAGCTCTGATGGTTCAATACATATTGAGGATTATAAGTGGATACCTGGGAAGATATTGAGATGTTTATATGACCGTGATTTTAGGTATGGATAAAGGAATCTTATTCAAAGTATTGATAGTTCTGGTTGCTCAAGAAGCAATCTTAACTTGCATATTTATTATTAAAGTTTCTTTTGTATATCAATTGGCATGTGCTTAATCATACTTTTACTGCATGTTTCATTGCTACTTTTTATTGCTTTGTCATGTATGCTCAAACTGCAATAATGATGAGTTCATAATCATCTACCATTTTTGGCACTATTATCTATCATCAATACCACCTTAGACATTTTCCACCTCTTTTCTGACTCTTCGAACTATATTCTAGCTGTTTTCATTTCAAGATCATGTGCTTAGTCTTATACATCCATTTTGTTATGTTAAAAATGAGAAACTTTGATACAAAGCAAAACGATTCTGCTTCCAGAATTTCAAATAATAATTTTTGTAGGTTAACTAGATTTCAAAGAATTTTGAAGGAATTGATTTAATTGCTTATTTTAGTCATTTGTGGGATTGTTTCTTATTACAAAATTATATTTTAGGTTCATACTTTTTGAAGCTTTGCAACTTCTCCATACAAGAATTGTTAATATTATAAAAAAAAATGCAGATTGGCACATTGGTAGACTTTGTAAGATCTCAAAAAATTCCCTTTGAAATTAAAAATTGAGTTCGTTAATTCATAAAGTTGAGATTATATATATATATATATATATATATATATATATATTGATTTGAATAGAAATTGATTCTATTTTGAAGATATTTTCTGGTTCTTGTTACGTATATTTCAGTATCGACTATCAGCATTTATTAATTGAAAATATTATAATTGAGGCTTCATTAAGTTATTATTTTTAGCAGTTACGTTGTTTACCGTGCCCTTGCTTCTTTTGTGGTAAGTATACTTGATATTACAGTTAATAAATCCAATGCAATCTGCTAAGAGAAGTTGCTTCAGTGATTATCTTGTTAGGTGATCACCAAGAAAAAGAGGTTTTTGTATAATTAAACATGATAACATACTCCTGAAGTCTGAGCTTTTCGTTAATTTTTTTTGTAATCTTCAATAGTCAAGGTTTATTGATTCTTAATTTTTTTTTCTTCTGTTTTTGATGTATTTCATAAGTTTCAGAAAACCAAAAAATTCACCACCAAAACCATAAAGCTCACTATTGTTATGTTTTTTCTTTTGGAGATTCAAAACATATCAATCATCAATTTATCCCTGAAAAAAAATTAAAATAGTCACTGGAAATTAAATATGTGGAGGCTTAGTTGTACTCGCCATTGTGGCCTTTGGATCTGTCTCACTGCAACAAAAGTTACCATCAACCTGAAAGCAATGACGATCAATGATCTGGAACAGAGTTGGTTATAGGTGTATGTCATGTGGGTCACTTGGGGTTGTACTTCTGGTTTATAGATCCTAGGTCTATTTGAAACTTGTAATTTACAATTATTGTAAATACATTTTGCCTTTTCACTTTTTATTTCTGGATCTGCGGTAAAACAAATCTAAAACATGGTTTTATTATTATAATGAACGTAGATGATGGCCATCCTAGGAGTGAGTGGCCGCAAAGATGAACTATTGTTTTAGTGGTTCATGATATAATTTGGAGGTATATTGCCATTTTCATCTACATAAGTTAGTAAGAAACTGTTAGTTTTTTTTCCCTTGTGAGCTTCAAGGTTCATGGGATGTTTTGCCTTGACATATTGATGTGAGATGTTCCTATTTGTAGAAAAAAGTGCATGAAAGTATTTATAATCGTACAACCGACAGTGCCTTGGTCTTTGGAGAGAATTTAAGGTTTTATGCAACGTATTGCAGGTCAGAGGCAATTGAACTTATCCTTTGTGGATCTTTGTTCCCACCTGAGTTCTCAGTAAAAGATAGGGTGAAATATTGGGTAACAACTTTCTCAGTGTTTGATAAATTTGAGGTGAAAGCTCTTGAGCAGATTCTTGCACAAAAACAAAGGTTTGTATAAGTTTCAGCATGGTAGTTAAGTGATCGTCTCTCTGTTCAGATAGAAGTATCTAGTTTGTGATAGTCTGTCCACGGATTTCAGGTGATTTCCTCTTGGATTGCAGGTTACAGCAAGAAATGCAAAAGTATCTGTCTCTCAGACAGACATATCAGGTTTGCATATAGTGGAATCTTACAGTGATGTTAGTTTGATTTCATGATGTTGTTGAGAATCAGTCTTGGTAAAATGCAGGAAGATGCAGCTGAACTCAACAAAAGAATTTTTGGCTGTTTCAAGGGTATGTCTCGCCTGTTCAATGACCCTGTGAAGACCGAGGAGAATTTTCAGTTTCTCAATCAGCTAAAAGATGCCAATATTTGGAAAATCTTGACAACACTTCTTGATCCATCCACTCATCTACACCAAGCATGGTCATGTCGGGTAATTATCATTCAGATTATTTATTTGTATGCTTTAGAAACAATTATAACATTGTTGGATCCTGTGTTTTGTTGAAATGGTTTGAAGCTAGAACTTGTTGCTTTTCTTCACTCGAATATCTATACTGAAAATAATATGCAGCATATTATTTTCATGTCAACTTAATGTCAAGATGGATATTAGGAGAAACTGTTAAATGTTAAACTATTTTGCAGGATGACTTGCTAAGGATCCTTGGAGAGGAGCATCCACTCTTTGATTTTATGGGTACACTTTCTTTGAAGTGCTCATACCTGCTCTTCAACAAAGAGTACGTCGTGGAGATACTCTCAGAAGCTGATGAACAACAATCTGCAGGAAATGCAAAACTTATTTCTTCATGCATGAACCTACTTACGGTAGAATATACTTTAACTGCTGCCTTATATTTCAGATTCAGATGCTATGAGCTGTATGAATAGTTTGAATCTAATTTTCTTGCACTTGTGGCTTATCCCTTTAAAACATCTGCATTTACTAAGATGGAATACAATCTATTCTGATGTTTCCAAATTCAATTAGTAATTTAAGCAAGGAAAATACTCCTTATTGGATTAAGCACCTTAATTAAGTCAATGATACTTGCAACTAGTTTCATGCCATTTTCAACATTGAGAATTTTGCTGATTTCAGGCTTTGTTATTCTCAACATTGAGAACTTTGCTGATTTTGAACTCTTGTTTATATCCGGATTTTTGATTTTATGATACAAAAACATTCTTCAGGAAAAATTCCTGTCTGACTTTCTGAAAAATTGTTACTTTGGAAAACAATTCTGTAGCTTTAATTCAAATATTTAGGTTATTGCATGTTACTCTCCCTTGCTTTTGGCTGGATGTGAAGAAGATCTCATTCGTCTTCTGAAAGAGGACAATGAAATAATAAAAGAAGGCATTGCTCATGTTTTGGCAAAGGCTGGCGGGACTATTCGTGAACAACTTACGGTGGCATCAAGGTATACCTTAGCCACCTGTTATTGAATTTACAATTTTACCTGTGACTTTTGTTCTTTGTTTTGGTTTTACCATCTATCTTTTTTACTCCTTGTGAAAGCTTTGAATTCTATTCACACAATTTTATTGTTAATCGATAAATTGCAGTTCAGTTGAACTACTTTTAGAAAGGCTATGTCTAGAGGGTACCAGGAAGCAGGCAAAATATTCTGTACAAGCCATAGCAGCAATAACTAAAGATGATGGTCTCAAGTCACTCTCTGTTCTATACAAGGTTGCATTGGTTACCCTTCATAAAAACTCCCTTTCTGATGGTAGCTAAACTGAATGAACTTTCTGAATGACTTTACAGAGGCTTGTGGATATGCTGGAGGAGAGAAGACACTTGCCAGCCATTTTTCAATCTCTGGGATGTATAGCACAGACTGCTATGCCAATTTTTGAAACTAGAGAGGATGAAATTATGGAGTTTATAATGAATAAAATCTTGCAGAGCAGTAATGTATGGCTTTCTGACCCAGTTTTACATTGTTCTATGCATTCTAATTTCTGAATGATTCAAAAGTTCTGTCTAATGTTTCTTCTCTGTGCAGAAGGCTGATGAAGTTTCTTTAGATGATACTGAATGGAGTGAAAGGTCTGAACTCTGTTTGATAAAGGTTAGTAAAGGAAACTCAATCCTCTGTACTAGAGTACTAGGATTCTTTTAGCAGCAAAAATCTATCTTTGTACCTTGTGTATATATTTTTGATGTTTGTCATGCTTTTGCCTGCGTTATGCAGATATTTGGCATCAAAACATTGGTTAAGAGCTATTTACCTGCCAAAGATGCTCATTTGAGACCAGGAATCGAAAAACTTTTGGAAATTCTGAAGAACATACTTTCTTATGGGGAGATTGCACAGGTTATTATATCAAGGTAATGATTATAACTCAGGTTTGAAAAACTGGATGTATTAATTGCTTGGGACTGGTATCTACTGGTCCAACCGTGAAATGTGAACCGTGAACCAGAACACAGACCATTGGTTATTGTACTGTTTGGTTTACACTGTTTACTGCCTGATATGATATGGTTAGCTTAGCGGGTGTACCATCTGGTTTGACTAGTAAAATCGGGGGTACTCAGTGGTAAGTCTGCCACTCGATACTTCTATTATTAGTTTTGTTTCCTTTTTTTCTTTTTTTGATTGAGATTTAGAACCTTGATTAAACTACTAATTATTTATCCTCTATAGGCCATATTTTGAGGCCTTTTTTTTGGCAAAATTTATCTGCTAGAGTATAATATCTTCTTGCAGTGATGTTGATAAAGCTCATATGAGGCTTGCTTCAGCAAAAGCTGTTCTTCGGTTGTCAAGACACTGGGACCAGAAGATACCTGCTGATATTTTTTACTTGACTTTAAGAATTTCACAGGTAGATTATCAGTTATAGCAGAAACCAACATGATTTTTCTTTTCTTTTTAAAAGTATATGCTAGAAATTAGGCCTTTTATTTGTTTATATTCTTGACTGGAACTTACTTTTCTACATCATTGATTTAGGATGCCTATCCTCAATCTAGGAAATTGTTCTTGAACAAAGTTCATCAGTATATCAAGGAACGGCAATTGGACGCAAAGTATGCTTGTGCCTTCTTACTCAACGTTAACGATCGTCTCTCCCTAGAGTATGAAGAGGTCCGACTTTTGTTTGTCTGGGTTTATCAATATTCGATACATTGGAACAAAGTCATTGTTCTTTAAAATAAGACCCTTTTATCATCTTTTCCACCAGTGTCAACAAAGTCTACTTGAACTTGTACAAATATGCCAGCAAGTTCGGATGCGGCAACTTTCTGCACAATCTGACATGAACACTACAGCAGCTTATCCAGAATATATTCTTGCATATGTGATCCATGCCCTTTCGCATGATCCTTCATGTCCTAACATTGATGAATGCATGGATGTTCAGGCATTTGAGCCTACCTACTGGTATGTCACTTCCTTTTAAAATTGAACTACTTGTTCTTTATTATACGTCACATTTGATGATCCATATTTGTGCATCTGTCCTGAATCTTGTACTTGTATGATCTCTTATATGCTCATTTAGGGTCACTGCATGATCTTGTTGGACATTTGCATATTTGGACCTTGCTATTTATCGTGGAAGGCTCCTTCTTCATGCTAGCTTTTCCATCACTCCGTGTAGTAATCTGTATTGGAGGATTGGGTAACATGTTTCGGAGATTTGATGTGATTGTCTTTCATAATTTTATAACATATGAACCTTCTTGTAAAACATTGTTAGTTTCTTAAGGAATCCCATTTCTATCTGGTGACCCATTATGCATGATCTATTTACAAAGTCTTTATTGGGAGCACCATTTTTTTCTTAAATCTGGTTGGCTGCCTTTAATCATTGTGTGAAAATTAAGAAGTAAAGATGACAGTATTTGTGTACTGATTTCAATAATATATCCAGCATTACATGGTCTTATCAGTCTAGGAGATTAGGATTAAGAGACTTTTTTAAATATTATGCTAATATTTTGTAGCTTCCAGGCGGTTGAATCTATTTCTTTCCTCGCTGTTGCATGGTGATGAAGGTAGCCAATCTGGTGCTTTTCCAAACCAGAGAAAGGAGAGTTATAATGCAATATTTTCTATCTTCCACAGTATTAAGAACTCCGAGGATATAGTGGATGGATTAAAATCAAATGTAAGTGATTTGTTAAGCCATTTATTGCCATGGCTTTCTCATGTTGTAAAACAATTTCGTACTACAAACTCCATTGAATTGCCACTTAGTCCTGTAACTTCTTTTTATTTATTCACTTTTACCATGTTTTATGTGTTGTGAACTGATTTTTGCATTGGGTGGGAGATATTCAGACTGTACATGCTATATGTGATCTTGGGCTCTCAATTGCAAAGAGAATAGTGTCCGAGAAGGTGGAGGTTTCAGGGTTTGATACCGTTCCTTTGCCATGTATGTTATACAAACCTGTTGACAAAAGCAAAGATGAAAATGCCATGGTTAGTATTTCCCGGTTAAACACTTTTCCACCTTTCCCAAGAATTCTGTATTAGCAAGGTCCTAATTTTACTTTATGCACTTTTTTTCTGGATTCCAATGAATCATTGTAAGTCTTGTTATCATGATCTCCATATCTGCGCATACTTACTTTAATTTCCTGGCTGAGTGAGCAGTCCTTAATGCTTTATAATGTTCAATGGAAGCATTCATTCTTCATGGATCGGGAATAAACATCCATGGTTATTTTTTGAAACTTATGGTAGGAGAAAAAATCATTAATCAAAACAAATATCATATGAAAAAGATTTTTTTTTTTTTCTGTGGACATGGTAAGGAGCTTTATTTTGTTGAAATAATGGATTGTGTTTTAAGTAATTAGTACATTTAAAAATATAGAATAGACAGCTATAAAGTGTGTAAGGGAGGTTAATGTACATAATCTTACACCTATAAGCAGAGAGGCTATCACAAAGACTTGAAGTTTGGTGACCTAGGAGCTATCTTATTGTTGTAGCAAAGCTTGCCTTCTAGCTAGAACTTGTGATAAATTAATTAGGGTCATTGTTTTAATTATGATACCTAATGCAAACAACACTAAATAATCTAAGAATATTTCCATCTCATCTAAAATCGAAAGTCGACTTTAAAGACAATTCTCACGAGAAGTGCCAACAAAGTATCTTTAACTGTCCTAAATATTTCTGATCTTGTCGATAATTTAATATAATTGAATACTTATGAAGTTGTGTATCCAAGAAGTAACCTACAACATGTGGCAAGCAATTCAGACTTAAAAGTACCCATGCATAGTGGTTGTATAATATTCATGGAATGGATGCTGAAGTGTCAACAAAGTATCTCTAACCATCCTAAGTATTTCCAATCTTGTCGATAATTTAATATAATTGAATACTTAGGAAGTTGTGTATCCAAGAAGTAACCTACACGTGGCAAGCAATTCAAACTTAAAGGATCCATTCTTAGTGGCTGTATAATATTGAGGGAATGGATGCTGGTGTGTGGAATATTTGATGCATATACCATGCTTGAAGGATGTACAATCACATAGTTGTGAACTCCCTTATGCATCCACCCCAGTTGTTGATGTTCAACTTGGATGCCAAGCAAGAAAGTATTCATGTCACATTATGATTCTGGTTGTTATGGATCTGTGTTATTCATCAGGCTTTCATAACATCAATGTTGCATTCACTGCCTGTCTTTATTATATTGAAATCAATTTTCATCTAAATGCTGAATTGTCATAATTGATGGACATATGTAGTCATTATCTTTTTATCCCTTCATTTATAGATGCTATGGAAGATAAAACTAATAGAATCAACTGTTTGATAACTGATGAATTCTTCTCTTTGTTTGCCTGGTGGAGGGTCTCCTAAATAGAAATTGCTTTCACTAATGTAGCCATTGTATAGTATACATCTGGAGCATTTAAGAGGCAAACTTCAAATAAAAATTATTTATTTAGAATTTGATAAATTATCGAACCATTTGTAAATATACCGGCAGCTTTTTTGTATACCTCAATTTTTCTATATTAATTGTGCAATTTTCATTTTAGGATGATGACAATCAGACATGGTTGACTAGTGATAGTGCCTTGGCCCATTTTGAAGCTCTTAAACTTGAACACGAGGAAAAGGTCTGTGTATCAAAGTTATGAGGAAATTAGTTTGCATAGTTATCTTTCATTAAAGTAATTCTGCCATCTGCAAATTTATATTGATCGTGACTGTACCAGTTTCTTTCTATGTGGAATTCTAGGGTGATTCAGGTGCTGCAAAGGATGAAATGGTCTTGGAGGAGAATAATGGAGATGACAGTGAAGTTCCTCTTGGGAAGATGATGGAAATTCTTAGATCTCAGGCAGCCAGGAAGAAGAAAAAGAAAGCTGTGAAAAAGGATAACTTACCTTCTGTTTTGGAAAATTTTGAAAATGACTTTGATGTTCTCGGAGTTGTAAGAGAAATAAATTTGGACAATCTTGAACGAGTACAAACCACGGAAATAGACAACTTGGTAGCAGATATTGAATGCAAAAGTGCAAAAATGGCTGATAAAAGTAATGATGAGAAATATATGGTATCTCCAAAGAAAAAACAAGATGGACCTAGCATTGAGGCTGTTGTGCCTGCTACAAAACGCAGAAGGTCAGTTTCCACACATAGGTCAAATTCATTAAAGGGTCAAAAAGGAAGCACAAAGGTTTCTCCCCCAGGGTCATTTGGCAAAGATGAGGCAGTGCATTCTTTGGTGGAACAAAGTTTATTTGAGGACATGGCTGAAACTACTACACACTTGCTAGTCTCACCAGGTATCTCATCAACAAAAGGAAGGAAAATTGCTGACAGATTGCATGTTGAAAAGGCTTTGAACAGTACTCCAGAGGTAAAACTTCATCTTTGCAACATATCACCTTGTGCTGCTTTAAATTGTGGGTATGGTATATGTTGCAGAAATTGGCCTTGTCAGAAGACAACAGAAAGAAAGGTGATCAATCCAAAAGCTTAACTAGTTTAACTAAAAAGCGTAAAAGAAGAAGCATTGCTGGTTTAGAAAAGGTATGTCAACTCAGTTTATATGGCCATCGTTTAAATCTGTGCTGCTTTTTTTTTTCCTTTCTTCTTTATAATCATTCTCTGTGCTGTTTACTGGGGTTTGCATTGTGATTATTGTTATCTCATTTTTTCATGCTTAATGCAGGATTAGTTCCTCAGTCACAATATATTGGGGGAATTATAAGTTCTTAAACATTGTATTTGTTTATCCAATTTTAATGTTTCTTTGATTAAGATGGCATATAATAAATACAAATTAATAGTAAAATCTCCACAGTAGGAATGAACTACCAGACTGATGTATACTATGCTTGGATGGTATAATTCGTTACATTAAATAATTAGTGTACTCCTAGAGTATAATACTTTAGTACTTGGTAAAGTAGTACTTTTATGTTTGGATGACATGCCATGCTATTTTTACAATTAGCTGGCTGGTGAATTGCCAGAAAAGAAGGAAAACAGAGAACATAAGAAATCTAAACTTTAAAGCATGGTCCTTATAGAAACCAAATTATTCACATAGATGGCTAGATGATCTTACTTCTGGCCTCTGGTTTAAGGACATTCTTCTAGCTGGACCTGGTTGTATCTTTACCATATCCTTTTCTTTGGTGACCAATGCTTTTAATCCTGGCCAGACACTTGTTACCCTTATAGAACTGTTCCTTTTTTAATAGGATTGAACTGGTTCTTCATATCTTATGACCAACATGGCTGGGAACCAAACTTGGGCCCGAAAGTGCCTGGAACTTGAACACTTGCCCCATGCATGTTCGAAAGACCTGATAAAATATCGAGACTGAACCATGTTATTCCGATGTCCCAAAAATGCCTGATAAATTTAATGCTAATATCCTTTGTTGTAGATATTTGTATAGTTATTGAAATTCATTCACAGGCTCTTAGCTGCTATGTCTACATCATGGAAATTATTACATTGATGATACCTGATGCAAAGGTTCACCACAACTAATTGTTACGCACCCATGTAATTTGCATGTATTAGCAGGATAGATAGTTATCAAACATTTTTGTTATAAACTTATAAACATAGAGGGAAGGAGAACTTCTTGTTTTTGAGCACTTTATAACCCTCTTGTAAGTATTCATATTCTTGTGTTCCAATATATTGCATAAAGTTATTATCATGCTATACCTCTCTTTCTCACTCTTACTCCATTTCCATGCAATAATGTATGAAGCTTTATTTGTCTAAAGTCTAAACAACTATAGATAGCATTCGCTCCAATACAGCTTTCTCATTAGATGTAAATAAATGCAGGACACACATCCAGAAAATTAATTGGAAATTTGGGCATGATAATTGCTTAGATTATTACTACATTGAGGTCAATTCGTGAATGGTTAGTTAATATGAAACTGCTATGCGGTCAAATAATCAGAAGACTGTAGAATATTGTATTCATTAAAGATCAGGATTCCAATTTGTAATGTCACTTGATTTCCTTAATACTATTCATAAAACTAAAAGATATGAGAAAAAAACAACAACAGGTGACCCACTCTTCACTTAATCATCAAATATATAACTGCTGAAGCATAACCTTAGGATAATGTTTGTGCAGATAAAGATTCAGCAAAGGTGCAGCACATCTATATCTTTCTCTATGCTTTTTTTATTAGAGTTTGACTCTTGAGGATGGAGTCTTATTCATGTTAAGACAGTAAAGCATGAGTCATTTGTCTTTATATACTGTGTCATGTCTATAATCATTTGTACATACGAGTACCATGCATGTCTCCAAAATTGTGTATGATATTTGTTTTAAGCTTTCGTCCTTTATCATAGATAAAACTATAGTTTTCTGCTATTTAAAAGGTCATAACATTGACCTACTATCTATGTGTGCAGTGTTCATCACACATAAGTCAAATAAGTGATGCTGAGTTGGTTGGATCAAGAATAAAGGTTTGGTGGCCACTGGATAAACGGTAAATTTTTTAGCATATGAAACTTTTACGTAGGTATATTACTGTAAATCTTGCTGTGTCTATTACAATGATCATGCCAAACAATCTAATGAAGAGAGTATATTACAGTATTATGTAATATATTTATTACAGTAGTATGTAATATCTTGCTGTGTATATTACAGTAGTATGTACTTTACATATATTTATTACAGAGAGCTATTGTACTAGAAAAATTAAATTTCAAAACTTTTATTTCTAATTTTTCTCACCAGAAACTGATGCTTCTTTTTCCAGGTTCTATGAAGGTCTTGTACATTCTTATGATTCAGAAAAGAAGAAACATACGGTAAAAATCAACTGAAGTTGCAGTTTTCATTGTTGTGGATGTGCTTTTGGGATCATCGAAATGTCTGAGGCCAGTGCTATGAATTGGTTATGCTTGCATAGTTAATAGGTTCAAACTTGTGTTTTATCTTTGAAAGAAAAAAACTATTCCCAAATATGGAACTATCCGGTCCCACAATGAATTTCCCTTGAAGTTCAATTACATCTATTAGGTGATTGTAATTACTTCTCCCACAGGTTAAATGTCAAAAATAATTGTGGGCTGATCAACAGGTAGAGATCCTACATGCGGATGCTGATTCTGCACATATATATGTTTTGTCAAATCAACTTATACCATTTTTTTTCCTTACCAGACTCTTGTTTGTCTACATGCTTTTTTGTGTCCTTGTGTTGCTAGTTCTATCTAAATCCTATATTATTATTTCAGATTTCAAATGAATTAGAAGTTTCTTTTCTTTAACCTGTTTACTTGTGTTATAGATACTTTATGACGATGGTGATGTTGAAGTGCTTCAATTAGGCAAAGAAAAATGGGAAGTTGTCAGTAACATTCACACTCCTAGAAAGGTTGGATCTTTGCACTTGTTTTTATTTTCTGTACCTCATTTTAATCCATGAATTATCAAAGTTTTTGATACGTTGTTGCTTGTTCCGTCATTTGTAGAAAGAAAATACTCGACATACACAAGCAGTGAAAGACAAGTGAGTTCGCCTACCATTATTATATTATGTAACTGTGTTTTAATTAATAGAAAGTTTGCAAAATACTCAGATCACTTGACATAACATATAAAGAACTGCAGGTCCATCTTTGCTATTCTCTTTCATTCATAACCTAAAAAGCTCAAGGCCATAACCTTCCTGTCATAGAGATTATGCATTAGTAACATCTCATCAAGAAATGTCGGTGTTTTCCTCTTTAAGTATGGAAGTTCATCCATTATTAGCAAATATGTGAACTTTACTTCATAGTAGCTTCTGTTTGATTGTTCTTTTTTCAATCATTGGATGCTGTTGCAGGTCACCTGAGTCTATAAATAACAAAATTTACCATTCTGATTCAGAGAAAAATAAGGATACAAGGAAGAAGTAAGCATAATCCTTGTTTTTTTTGTCCCTTTGCCTGTGAAACAACTTATTTAGTGGAAGGAGAAATGGACAGGTCTTCCTCATCCAACTCAAGGAAAAAAGGTCCTACCAAAAAACACGTAGGGAAAAAAAGCAAAATCGTGTTAAAGAGTAACAGTAATGCAGATTCTAGTCTGGACAGTAGGGGTGACTCTGATGTATCAGATATCCACCCTCGCTCCATGTTCAATGATGTCACTGGTACGTGCGCATTTGTCAGGAATTATATGACATTTTCCTTGCCACTAACAGTTATCTTTTCTCGTTGGTTGTCGATGCTTCCCTTTTTCTTCAGATGGGCTTGAAGAGAAGGAAGCCTCACCAGACCCAGAAGTGGGAGTCGATACAAAAGTGGGATCAAAAGAGTTGGATGACAAGTTATCAAAGGAAGAATCACCAGATCATTCCAGTTCAGATGGGAAGGATGACTCAGACGATGAGCTTATTGTATGTTCTTCAGCCCTCCAATTCCATCTCTGAAACTCGAATCTCAACCATGTTCTATTCATCGCCATTAAAATAAACACATGGTGCAGAGTGCCTGGAAGCTACGAGCCGGGAAGTCCACCTGAATCTTCAATGCCCACCCTCACCTTTGCCGAGTCCATTTTGTGGTTTCCCGTCTCCTCACATGCTTTCATTGTCATGCCACAACCGACGTTCTTGTAGGATGGCTTGGTGAAATGGCCCAAGAGACGGTGATACTACGACATGGATATCGAGACAAAAGCTCTGTAAAATGGCATATTGTCAGCGCAAGTTTATCCACTGCTTTAGATTTTAGTGTCTTGTTGACATGAACAATGGAACACTGTGGGCATTATTATGGATTTGCGATCCAATTCGTTGTATTGTGTAGCCACCAATATCTTCTGCCTGACATGCAAATAACTAACATACTAATGATTCTGAATTAAACTGCATAGTTAGAACATTGTTCATATATGTGATCTCGTGTGGATTGATGCATGCTTGTCGATTTAGTTACATGGATAATTTTAGGAATTGTATGGGCCGAGAGGCCCATTCTAATTGGACCGCTGTAGATGTTTTATAGATGTCCGCTGGCCCGGTCCGGTCCGGTCCGGTCCGGCCGAATACAAAGGGGTTGGGTTTGACGTGGCCAGGTCAAAGCGCCATCCGAGCTATCGCCCTCGATCCTCGTCCCTCGCCCCCCGCCCCCGTCGCATTCCCCGTCCCCATTTTCTAGCCCGCGGCGTTGGAGCCGCTGACACCACCACCACTTCCTCTTCTCCTCGGACGGCCACCGCGGACTCCAATCCGGTCGCAGTTCCCATTCTGCCACTTATGACGGTTAGTTTCGCTCTTAGTCTCTTGTTGCATCGGCTTCTCTCTTGATCTGCGCCCTAGTAGCACACCTGTGCATCTCCAATTGAAAGAGACTTCAAGAAATGCTTCATTGATGCGTGAATCTGAACGGGGAGTTGTTGGAACTCCGAATTTGGTGGTACAATTTAGAGAAACAGAGGTAAAGATTTATGCCTTCGTAGGTTGTTCGATTGGTGCGGATTTGAATCTGCATATTACCATGTACGACCTTCATAAATCCCTAGTTAGAATCATCGTCTTTGTCATCCGTTGGTGTTATCTGTTCCTGCCTTTCTCGTATGGAGAAGACGGACACGGACGCAGGAACGGACGAAAGCCATCAGTCCTTTAGGATGATGACGGACATGGTCGTAAATGTACGTGTAGGGCGGGCCCCGCAACTGGCCGAGCAGCCGATGGGCGAGACTGCGGACTGGGCTCCGGTGGCCCTCCAGCCCCCGTCTTGCGCAAGCGTGGCGCATGGACGACGCCATTGTGAGCTAGCGTCGAGTCTAGTGGATCGGGTCAAGGATCCGCTTAAGAGCCTGGATTCATGTTTCCTTTGCTCGCCAAGGCTGGATCAGCCATGCTGCAAACCGATTCGGGTTATGATACTCGAATCCGACCCGAACAGTAATGGAGTTTCTATGCGTTAAATGCATGTACTTTGGGTGATGTCTACATGGTACACAAAGCCGTGGGTTCTGCGGACATTGTGCGGGGACAGTGTCCGAGGTGATGCGAAATGCCAACCCGTGTGCTTTGGGTTACTCATCATCAGCAAAAGTGATGCATTTTAGAAAGGCAAGAAGACTCGGAAGCTCTGCCAGTATAGGTGCATGGACTGTATGGTTAGTAGATAGACCAATGGGACCCATGGTGGGCTCCAAAGCAGCAATTCCTATCAAGGAAGCCATATGGCACAGTGTGTTTGTGGTAGACCACATCATCAGAAGGCAGAAGAGGAGGTGGGAGTTTCGAAAGGTGAGGCAGGGGGGTCCCCTCAGCTTCAAGCATAGCAGTGTATTGTCTTTGGTTGGTGCTAGTTCTTGTGAAAAAGGGGATGTAGCTCTCCATTGTTGCTTGGGTAGATGATGCTGTCAAATCCAAGCAATGGTTGCAGTAGATCATGTTCAGAATTATGGTGAAGAGAAGTGGACGGTGGACTATCACTGCCTGTTTGTCGAGGACTTATCTTGACAGTAATGTCCAGAAGAGTAAACCAAAAGAACAGAGAGATATTTCATAGTTCATGCTGCAAGGTCTCTTTGTCTGCTCCTGCCAACAAATGATTTTGCACTAGTTTTCCTGAACTGTTTGAGTTTTCCTTGGCTCAATGATTCTACCATTGTTCATGTCAACTTCAGAGTGGCCTTTAACGCAGGTTGATCTAACTAGTTTTCTTATATTAGTATTCAAAATAAATATTTTCGAGTCACAAAAATTAATATTGGCAGTCATCATAAACTTGAGGAAGGAAATATGCTTAAATTTAGCTAAATGACTACACAGATAACTGAAGTTAGTTCTAAGTTTGTGCTAATTATCCAGCAAGGTGTGGAACCACTTGTAGCCAGATTCCAGTTCTGCCTCATCCATATCCACAACTGAGTCATGCTGCTACAGCATAATGGTGCAGAGGGCTCATATCATATGGTTTTCATCTTCTGCCTGTGAAAATTGATGAACTGCATTATAACTGCAAAATATTTCCAAACGGAGGAAAAAGTTTGTCTTGTTGCTGACACCAAATAATTCTTCGTCATGTGCCTGGCTACCAAAGGTTGGAGTTTTGGTCCCCCATGACAAACCATGAGTTGACTTGTCTTTTAACAGTGTGGTTAGGGTTTCAGTGAACATGGTTAGGTGGCATGCTGAATTGTTGTTGCCTAGATCGTGAACATTCTTCTGCTGGGCATGCCATCATTTATGGTCAGAGGCAGCCTTCTTATACCCTAGTCTTCTTGCTGATGTCCATCTAAGGAATGCAGTTCAACCACAAAGTTCTGATCACTGAGTCTTGGTCATGTCGGAGAGCTTGATAAACATGTACATGTGCGGAAATTAAAGTTTGCCTGCCTTGAGGTTGGCAGCTAGTTTGGTAACTGTCCCAAGAAAAATCTAGTCAAAAGAAAGATCAATGCTCTCTGTGGTCTAGTCTTCACTTTCCACATCATAAGAGGGGACCAAACGTTGTCATTTTAGTGTTATGCTGATATGTTGGCAGGGAAGGAAATATTGCTGGGCATATGCTTAATCTTTGCAGAAAAAGAACCAGTTGATGTGGCTTTCTGATTATGACTAAACTGCTTCTCTATCGAATAAGCAAAATGATTGTATTACTACTTTGAACTGGAATGATTCTACTACTTCTCTGTCAAACATAAGATTTCCATTTTCATCCTGGTCAGAATTAGAAGATCTTTAATTAAATGACGTTAACATACCTCTCCTATCCTTGTTTGAGGAACACATAGTTCTGACCTAATTTCCTAGATAACTAAGATGCTTGATATGCAGCAGAAGCAACAAATGATCCCTTTGCCAATATATATTGTGCCAGAGCATGTTTCTGCTTCACTTTACATGCTTGTGATAAACCTTTCCAAAAACTTAGGACGATTTATGTTGCATTGGAATGCAGATAAACTCATTAAATTATTTTTTTTGGAGAAAGGCAGTACACCCTTGTTGATCAGTCTCAGTTAATGCCTCATTTTACTTGATGCCAATCTATCTTGCCTCTTTGTACTGAAAACAAGCCTGAATGACCTACCTACTTTGTTTTTTCCTTGTATTAGGTGATGAATATGTTGCAAGAACATGATACTAGCGTAAAGAATCTACTCGAGTAATTGCAAGATGGTAAGATCCTGTCTGTATGCAGGTAATGTTTCTTTTGACCAATCTATTTACCTTTTTGTTCATGTCTGCATCATCCATATCTCACCTGATACTGAAGCATCTCACAGTTTCTGCAATCTAGCATCTGTTGGATATCAAAATTCCTAGCCCTAGGATGAGACCATTATTAATTATCCTAGCACTAGCCAGAAAAGCTAGTAAAATAAAGCCCTTGAACATATTCAACAAGTACCCTTGTCTTCTAGCATGGTAATACCTCCTCCACAACAAAAAAGAACCCACCTTGATTTCATACCTTCCCTGGTAGATTCTATTCTGTCAGCCCAAATCATGTGGAGTTTTTAAAACTAGCCTCACCTTGTTGTATCACATGCTACCTCCAATTTCTTCAGATTAAATATGGGCTTGGAGGATAGACCTTCCAAATAATCAAATGGGAGAGAACACTTGGTGTTGGTATTCTTCCCAATAAAGTCACTTTTTTTTACTGCATTCGGCTATCAGAGAAGAAGAAGACTGTAGATCGAGACTCCAAAATTTCTAGTTGTATTCCTATCAATAAACCAAGTCCTGACCTAAAACCTTGAGCCAAACAGAGGAGGTACATGATTTATGCAGTGGTCCAGGGTGTTGGAAAGCAACATACCACTAGAAGGCACCAAAAAGGAGAACTCCTATCTTTATCTTCACAGAAATTTCTTCCTGTCTCGTTGCTACTCCTCATAAATGTTCAACCACACGCTTCAAGGAAGGATTCTTTTCTTTGTTCATGAGTCAGGTCAAACAGAGCACTTTCAGTAGATGAGTTTGAATCTTCATTAACTCGGTCCAAGTTAGCTTCAATACTGCTTTCATCATAGCTTAGGCTTGTGGAGCTTCTCACATCAGAAAATATATGCATACTGTTCTCTAGAGGAAATAAGAGACAAGCTATCTTTCAACTCCCCAATCTGATCAACCAACCACATTCTTGGATTTCAAGAAAATGATACCTTTTGCTTTAAGAGTAGCTTCCTGCAAGGGCATTTCATACCCTCCCCCCCCCCCACCTTTTCCCTCAAAATCAAGTAGAAGACCAACTAAGATTTGATCTAGTTCATGGTAGGATTGTTTGGTGGTACCAGTCATATGATCTGGCTCCAATGAAGACAAAAACAATTGGTACAAGAGGAGAGACAACCATCCATTAGTTTGTCAGTCTGGTTGCAGCCATGATGCCTAATTGACTTTACCTGGCGAGCTGCTTTGTTTACAGCAAACCTCACCACACCTCACCTCACATCATTCTGGTGCATCATGGTGAAACCATAGAAGTTGGGAAATCTAACGAGTTGAAATCTACCAACCAAATCTTGTCAGTGATACTGGGAGAAATTTGCACCACAGATTGTATAGCACATAAAATAATACCAAAGGAGATTTGCTGCTATATGTGGCAGTTATGATATTGTGCCATCGACATCTGTCTTTACCTATTTATGTTGACTTACAAACTGAGCTCAAATAGTTTTCTCTTCTCTTTCCTTGATCATCTTTTGTACCTCAATGGCCATTTTTATGCATCCATGGTATTTAGCTACCTACTTATTTCACTCATACAGAAGTAACACACTTTTTCTGGGATGCTTCAGTCAATCCAAGTCTACGTAGCAGTGTCCAGGACAGGATTGGGAGTTAGGGAGCTCCATCTCCTTTAGACAAACACCAAGTGATACTGAGAGGGAGGGAGGAGAGAGGAGGGAAGGGAAAAGACATGATTCCCATTGGTCACTTTATTAGAATGCAAGGAAAGGCCAGTACATATCGCACAATCACATACACCTAATCATGCAATCAATTCCACCTTCACCTGCTACTCCAATCTCCCAAAAAGACCGTGGCTGCTCATCTCCCATATCATCCTAAAAAGTAGAACTCGTATCTCCCCCACGGGATGGAGATACACGTTTCCTGTCAGTCCAGATTTTGAAGTGCTGTCTGACGAGAACATGAGGAGGGACTAAAACTGTTGCGTTGAAAGATACAAGAGCAAGCATCTTCCAGGGATTTTACTTAACAACCATGCGTCTGTATCACGAGCTAATCCATCCATGGCTTTTTGTTGCATGTCTGATGCTTTTGTTTCTTAATGAAAATGTACCACACTTCTGCAGTTATTCTTTATATATGCATCTTCATAACACTAGGTATTGCTGATCTCATTTCTAAAGATATTTCTTGCCCAACAATCACCCAAAATTTACAGGAATTATGACTGTTAGCCATATCAGAAGGGAGAACAGAGAATTGGATACGATGTAATCCAAGGAGAAAAGAAGACCCATCACAACTGTTCCCATAACATTGTCGTTTTAGATCACGTATAATTCTGAAGAGAAAGAAATGGAGGAACCTCGTCTACGTACCAATTAGAGAAGACAAAGAAGAGGATGGTGTCACATGCACGAGAAGAAAAGGCAGCGAGAGCTCTTCTTCCTCAGCCTCTTCGATCTAACTACATCGTGCTTCTCTAGCTTCTACTCAGAAGAATGAATCCATGACTCCACCATGCCCTCATCACGCCTCGTCGCCACAAAGCTCTCCGATGCATTGTTCCTGTTGAAGTCTGACGGGTCCGAAGTAGGGTAGTTCGGCTTGCAGCCTCTGTAGTCACCAACAGTGACCGGCCTCAACTCCGTTGTGTCATCGCCGCCGTCTGCTTCAACTGTGTTGACGAGCCCCGGCGGGAGCCCGCGGAGGTCGTTCATGCTGTGCCCCGCCGAGAAGCTTGACGCCATGGCGGGTAGACTGTACTTTGGCTGGAGCAGTGGGGCTTGGAGATGGGATTGCAAGTCGAGGATGGGGATCTGGGGGTTCACAATAGGTTGGCTTCGGCCTCCGCCATGGCCAAGGTCATGGGAAGGTAGTCGGTAGTTAGTGTTGTCGGTAGGAGTGATAGTGTTGCCGTTGGCATCGGCTGCAGTAGTGATCGTGTTGCTCAAAGTAGGAGGACGAGATGTTGCGGGATTAGTAATAGCGGTGGAGGGAGGGGATCGGACCTTCTGGGGTAAGGGACGGAGGAGGAAATGGGGAGGAGAAGGGGCGGCGGAGTGGAAGAGGTCGAAGCGGGAGCGGGCGAAGGGGGATGCGGAGGCAGCGGCGGCGAAGGGAGGAGAGGGGACTCCGGTGAATTCTTGGACCATGGCGCGGAAGTTGGAGGTGTCGGTGGTCAGCACGGTCGTCGGCGCCCGGCGCGAGGCCCTGGAGCGCTTCTTCGAGCTCCGCGGCGCTGTCGCCGCGGCGATGGACTGGTCGGGTGGTGGTCGCACCGACGACGATGACAGGCTGCCGGCAGCGATAGCGGTGTGAGTGGAGGGGTTGGGGATGAGGGAGCGAGGCCAAGGGGCAGCAGCGGCAGCGATGGTGGAGTCGAGGTAGGAGTAGTCGAAGAAGTGGTGGCCGTCGGAGGAGGAGATTGACGGTGTATGGGAAGGCGGGAAGGTGACGGCAGCGGTGGAGGAGGACGAGTGTAGGAAAGCGGAGAGGGTGTCGAAGCGGGAGTGGAAGTCGTCGCTGCCGCCGCTGGAGGGCCGTAGGCTGGTGCTGTGTGTTGAGTCCATAGTAAGAGTTTAGGAGACTGAGAGTAAGAAATAGTGGTGGTGGAGGAGGAGGATGAGGACGAGATTTAGCCAAATTAAGAGGGGCTGAAATAGATGCAGATGAAACTGCTCATTCTTCTGGTGTAGTAGTAGGAGAACAAAACGCGCAGAAGCACAACAGCAGCAGTGAAAAAGGCAGTCACCCTTTATGAAAAGGGATCGATACAATCTTGGAGAGAGAGAGTGAGAGAGTGAGAGAGAGAGACGGATGCAACCAGGGTGTTTTAGGGGGGAGAGAGAGAGAGGAGAAATGAGATGGAGTAGAAAGAGGCGATAAAAGAGGGAGGGAAGAAGAAAGGAAAGGTAGAGGAGGTTCTTTGCAGCTTCCATGGTTTTGTTTGTTCTGCTACCAATAAACATATCCCTCAAAGAAAAAAGAAAAAAAAAAAAAAAAAGAGATTCTTGGACACGCCAGCACGTGATTGGCGAGCAAAGTGCGGGGCCCGAATCCCGCCATTGGAGGCGTGCCCCGCTATGCTCGGCCTGTTGCCGAGGGATACGTAGCCAAAAACAAGCTACGTGTAAGGCTGCCACGGCGCCGACACCAAGTCTTCACCCGGTAGATTAACTCCACGTGTCACAGTGGGCTTCACCTGAAGGTTGTCATCCAAGAGATGCTCCTTGTGGCCCAAAAAAATTCGTACGTGGACGTCGTGCCGGTGAGCGGTGGATGCCGAACACGGTATCATTTCTGGCCTGATAAGCTCTCGAATTCCTTTCTTTTAGAAGGTGCAGTAAGATTTAATCTCTAAGAAGCTGAGATTATATTATGCAGATGAGCACGAGCAAATCCGCATCCCAGTGTACCTGATCCATACCTTTGTGGATGTCTTAGGCCTATGACTCTCTCTCTCTCTCCCTCTCTGTCTCCTCTATGTGTATGTATTTGCTACTCTTTTCCTCAGGTTGGGAGAAGTTGCGAAGACAGTTAATCTCAAGCGATCCCAGTGACATGACATGAGGCACAGGCTCTGTCGTTCCACGTCTCCCAAGTCCACCAAAGCCCGTAAGCTGAAGGAATCAGAGTCTGTCTGCTGCTTCCTCCGGTGCTGATTCTTTTCCACAGGTCTTGCACCATTCTATTCCGCATCTTACAGTGCTATCTCAGCGTTCACCAGTTCTCTTCTCCGAATGGTCTATTGCACTGCAAGCTGAGGCTCTTCTGAAGCTACTACACAGACACGAGGAGACCGAGCCCGGCTCTGCTGCACCAAAGTAGGGCATCGATGAATCCATATAACTTTTTGGAGCTACTGCAGACGCGTACTTCCTCGTGGTCAGAGCACAGGTTGACAGGGCGGCAGGAAGAAAGAGACACGGAGGGCCGCTCGGATCGACCCATGAGAAGAAAGAGGCCATGCTCCCTCCGCGGTCTCCATGTTTGCGGAGGCATGCATGGGTACGGAGAAGGCCTGAATCATGACGCCCACAACGCTCTTCTTCTCTGCAAGCGAGCCGCTTGCTGGTGCAAGCTCGGGAACCATGAGAAGCCGGTAGAGGACTGCGGCACCGCCCAAGTCGTCCGCCTTTCCGACAGCAAGACGCGTCTAAGGCGAGGCGAGCCGACTGCAACGCGAAGGTTACTACCACGACTGAATCCATGCAAGCTGAATCAAGAAGACTACTTGTGATGTCATATCTAAAGATGGAAAGATGGGAGGCATCGGTCGAAGATCACGAGGTATTAATGATCCAGGAAGAGATGAGAAGGTGAGTAAAAAGAAAATGTAGGCAGCGGCGACGACGTCTGATGGGAAAACGGAGTTGGTTCCATCCTCCTGCAAGAAGAGGAGCGATCACGAGTTTTAGTTGAAGTTTTAGAAGTTATTGTGTTTTAAGCTTTTTTTTATTTTTTATTTATTAGATTGATGTAATGTTCGAATATCACACACATTGAATTATAATTAATATACCGGTAGAAATATAAATAATATGTATATATTACTCTAATTTCATGATATAATTTATGATGTTTATGTTTCATAAATATGATAAATGATATGTTAATATTTTTTTATTTTTAAGATTAAAATATATATATATATATATATATATTTAAAATATCATCTATATGAGATTAAGTTATGGTAATAAGCAGTCATATAATGATTAGAAGTGGCGATGAAATTTTAATCGATCTTAAGTGAATCTCTGAATGAGTTTAATCATGATTAACGTAAGAATGTCTAAGTTTTAAACCTTATCTATATGAAGGATAATAAGCTAATTAGATATTGATAGAGTAATAAAAAATTAAAAGAAGATACAAATAATAAAAGAGTTATATTAAAAATGTTGAGATACATATATGAGATTGAAGGATGAGTTTAGACCAAAAATGTCATCCTTGTCAAATCAAATTAGACTTAATTGTTGTTGTTGTAACCTTATAATTATATTAGTAAAAAAAATTTAAAATGAAGCCTAATAAGATTGAACCATAAACCTCAAAGTAACCTCTTAAGCATATCTATGCATGATCCTCTTTATCAACTTGTAACTCACACCCTTTCTTTTCTTCTTCAGCTATTCTCTCAGCTTTTCTTATGAAAGTCAAGAAACCCCAATTCTAAAGAATATTGAGGTAAGAAAAACTCAATTTTTCTCTTACTATACCTAAGGTTTTAGTTTTACAAATTATAGACTGATTTTTTTTATTGCTTTTAACTAATCTAATTTATCTTTAATTTTTGGATATATTTTGTATGAATCTTTTATGATTCTAAGGCCTCTTGTATGACTTTAATATGAGATTAGTCCATAGAGTTATTTCTATCCCAATTTGAGATACTCAAAATCTCCTATTTTATGAGAAGGGGTTCTGTTAGAGCTGAATTAATTCTCTTTGGGATATAATTAAGCTTTGGCTTTTTGATAGATTTTAAAAGATTCTCTAAGAATTTTGTGAGATTTGAAACTGAGTGAATGTCACTTCTGTACACCAAGTGAGGTTTATATGGTGTGTCAATCTAGTTTCAATAAAACAAAATAGGTATTGATAGTTGAATTAAGAGAAAAGTTTAACCTCTAAATGATTCGGTTTTAATATGAATTTTGATGTGTATTTAGTTTTACGTGTCTTTTAGTCTTCTACAAAATTTCATCATAATTTAAAATTGTTTGGTCAAACTTTTATCAAACTTTTTCTATCGATTATTGCTACAAATTATTATAAATCAATAATTCAAGAGATAGAGTTCTTAATTAAGAGATCGTATGACATTATGCTCCTAATTTGATAGGTATATCGCTTCCTAGTATATTTGGGCTGGTTCTAGGTGTCTCACAAGCTAATCGTGTGAGTGATAATACGTGTAATACTTTACATAGTCTTTTTACTTATTCTTATTATTGATATTTTTTGTTGCATGTTGTATATATTATGATGTTAATAGATCTGTGTAATGAGAATTGAATTATGATGAGATCATAATAATGAAACCGAATCACCTTTAAACACATACCCTAAATGATCCCGATTATAGGTTACTCAAGAGGGACATCGAGATAACCGGACAAACTGGTGTGCTATATACCCGTCAATATGATGGAGGCGACTAGTCTCATAGTCGCTCATGTAAGGACACCATGGATACAATGCAAGTGCTCTTGGAGAATGAGTTCACTAATTGATTCACCCACGAAATGCTGGATGGTTAATGATACTTCATTGTCAAACAACGATTCCATAGTCCTAATTGTGTGTTTGGTTCTTAGACTTTAGACATCAATGATGTCTTGTGTGAATACTCCACTCTTTAATACCAGACTTATAGGTCTGGAGATTCCAAATCTAGTATAGTCGGCCATCGGAAGTGGTACCTAACCTTACGAGGGTATTTGAGTCCTAATAGAGGATCATTCGCTCTCGGTATCATGAGAGGAATATCCTATGTGCTCTTGCTAAGACAAATCCCTAGCTATGGTCATTTAGATTGAGAGATAAAGAGTTCTTAAGAAGAATCCGATTAAAGCAAGACTCGAGTAGATTTTATATGGGTCTAACAATACCAGACTCGGTATATAATCTCTAGGATATTAGATGAATGAGAGAATATAAATATAAGGTAAAAGAGGACAGACAAGTCCAAATGGATTGGATTCCCCTTTATCGTCTAGGGACTACGGCGTAGTGGCCTAATACGTCTATAGTCGATGAGTTGAGTGGATTATTATAGAGATAATGATTCACTGAGTCAAAAGGTATCCTAATAGGTATGACTCATGACATGCTCGACATTGAGCCTAGAGGGTCATACACATATAGTAGGTGTTACGACGAGTAGAAGTTTGAATATGAGATATCCGTTGAATCTCCTATCTTATTGGATATCCAGTAAGTCCTAGAATTATTGGATCATGTGGATAAAATCCAATAAGAGACAATGAGATATTATTGGGTAAAGATCCACTAATCTAAGAGGCTTGGATAATTGGATAGAGATTTAGTACCCAATAGGACAAGATCTATTAGGGTTAAGTTAACAAGGATTTCTATAAATAGGAGGGAACCAAAGGGGCATAGGCTAGATCGTTTTTGGTTGTCACCTCATATTCTCCTCCCCTCTTCTCCTCGTTAGTCGACAACCCCAATTTGGAGTGTGTGTACAATAAGAAGGATCGACCCCTTCTTGATCATGTAGTGTGCTTAGAGAGGAAGATCATGCAGCGATTTGAAAAGCGTCTTTGTCGCATCTGCCGTGTGGTTCACCGTTAGAGAAGAGGACAGTTGACCTCCTTCATCTACTTTTACAAACCTAAGATTTTACAAGGAAATACGATCTTCTTATGTAACAAATCTGCCTTGACACGCTTGGGTTTTGGTTTTGCATTTTATTTTGCACATCAATCTTCACACAAAATTTTATTTTTCTGTTCTTCCATTGTGCATGTGATGCTTTGTCTAAGTTTCCCAATAATTTGACCATTAAGAAATATTATTTGTCCTTGACATCTTTATTTTTTAGTTCAATTAGATGAGTATAAATTTAATTCACTACAAAATAGTGATTGAATAAACTATCATATGCCTATTGTATTTTGGAAAACATGTTTCGACGAATGTGATCATCATAAGCTAGTCATGAGCTAAATATGAATATATATATATATATATATAAGCATAAAAATATATAATACGAATAAAAATATCTATATGCATACATATATG